CCAGAGCTCCCAAAGTCTAAACCACCAGCCAGAGAGCACAAAGGGAGAGACTCATGCACCTGTATAGGGAATTGAGGGTGACCTTGTTAGACTTCAGTGAAAGTGGAGGGCCATGGTCTCCGAAAGTTTGGATCCCCTACTGTGTGGGAATTCGAGAGCAGGGAGATGGAACTGGGAGGATGTTTGGAGCACACCCTCACAAAAATTAGGAGGAGGGGGTATGGGAGAAGAGGTTTTGGGGGACAATGGGAGAGGAGATAACATTGAAAGGTAAATTTGTATAATCTCCAATTAAAAAAACCACACAGATAAAGGGTCTAAAAAAAAAAAAAGAGAGAGAGGGAGAGAGTTTACTTATTTTAAATTAATTTCAAAAGTTTCTAGGAGTTGTTAATTGGCTAAGATCCTATTTTAAACTCTCCATAAAAGAATTTAAGTCTCTGTTCAATATTCTCAAGAGAGAGGTAAACCCTAATTTTCCTCAACAATTAATTGACAAAAGAGAGGTAATCTCACAAAAAGTAGAAGAAGCTATTACTAATCAATATATTATATAGTCTGATTAGTTGTCAGCGGTGCTATAACAGTCCTTTGACAAAACATTATTAATATAGATTTATATATCCTTAAATAGGGTCTTCATGACTCTCTGAGTGTGGAGGGAGCGACTGTTGGTGTATCTGCCCTGATTTTACAAGAACTCTGAAATATTGGCTTTAAAAACAAAAGAGGGGGAATGGTACCCCCTCAGACGGAGTCCCCCTGAAATACTCTCCATCATGCCTTGTTCACTTTTATCTCTCTAAAGCTGAAAGCTCATGGCAAATCTGCTGCTGACTGCCTCTGGCACCACCAAGACCAACAAAACTTTGCTACAGATATGGGGAAGGACCCTCTTACCCTTAAAGGGAATGGTACAGACCCAGTTCCCTTATGTGGCCGAGGACTGATATGCCTGTCCAACACCCCAGAAGGCACAGCTAACCGGCTACCAGAAAGATTAATGAAAAAAAATATCTACCCCCACAAAGCCAGGCCCAACCATAAATACGATGAATAACAATTTAAATCCAGGGAAGAGAAATCTCCCTGAGAATCCCCTTCTTTTTCCTTTCCAGGTAAAAATGAATCACCCATGATGTCTGCTGTTAGAAGTTCTAATCCAGATGCTGGCCTCAGAACTTATACTACTCAGACCTTTGAAGGGCCACTGACAAGAACATCAAACAGCTAGAGATTGACATCACTAATCTAAAGAAACACCTCATTTCGCTGTCTGAAGAGACCTCCTAAAATCGCAAAGATCCTTATTGGACTTGATTTACTATAGTACAATAGAAAAGACTGTATACAGCTCTTGACTGTGTACAACCCTCAAAGAAGGAGATTGCCTTTACATAGACAAGACAGGAATGGTTTAAGGAGAGCATGAAATAGGTCAGTGAAGCCTAAGAAATATCAGAGAGAGAAAGAGATAGATGAATGCTGGTACAAGAATTGATTTAGAGCCTCTCCAAGGTTGTCAACCCTATTTCCATCTATCTTGGGACCATTATTTGGGTTCTTTTTGCTTTTTTCTGCTGGTCCCTGGGCCTCAAATAAGTGGACTAACTTTGTGATACAACTGATAAATAACTTGGTAGCAAAACCTATTGAGATACATTGTCATAAGTTAACTATGGAGGACCACGAGACTCAAGATTAGGTTGTTACTTTATACAGGGTGTTTTCAAAACCCATCTCCACCCAACCTAAAAGGGGGGACTTCTGCCCCTAGACCAAGCAGAGAGGGGCCACCCAGAACCCCCTCTGAAAGGCGATCTGAATTCTTGCTTAGGCTGCGAGGCTAAGCACTGCAAGGGAATATAAATAAAAGATAAAAATATCTCTCTGGGTTCCCTGAGGGACAAGCCTGACTGCATAGGGGTTGATGTCAAAAGTATCCCCTCTCCAGGAAAAAGACATTGGGATGGGTATGTCCCTCATGCCTCACTGGACAATGACAGGGGGACCGGAGCCATTTCAAGGTCCCTTCAATTAGTGGAGGTCAGGCCTCTATCCCCGCCTTTGCAAGATTAGAATTGCCACAGCCCTTCTATACTTAGAGAAGGCAGGAGATGTCAGGGGCAGCCCTGCTTACACACTGAAGGCCTAAAATCAGACACAGGCCTAAAATCAGCAATAGGCCTGTCATACATGTATACTAACACCAAGTCTCAGGTCTCAGTGGAAAAACATTGAAACGGATGGCTATAAGCTAATGTCAACAAGCAGCTTTTGTGGAAATTTATAAGCCTGAGTAGTCATAGACCTTGTAAATATGTAGCCTTGGCAGACAATACCAACTTAGATAATGACAAGCGAGTCATAGGCAGAGTCATAGTGACTTGTCCCCTGAACCTTCACCCAGCCGATACCCGGTTCTGAAGATATCTGTATTCCCCCTGAACACCCACACTCCAGTGTCATTCCCTTCCCCACATCCTGCCTCTCTGTGTTTATACCCCTGTGTGAATTAATTATGATTTGAGAAAAAATTAAAAAAAATTTGTATAAGCTAAAATAATAAAATATATGCCTTGAAAACAAAACAAAACAAAAAAAAGGTGAACGATGAGAACTAAAAAAAAAAAAAGGATACAAACTGAAAAATATTATTGTAAATTAGGAATATGGAAGCCCTTTTAAAAATGTATTCTTTTCCCATCAATTACACTCTTGAGTAAGAAAATCATAATATATGCAACTTGGTATTTCATTTAGGGAGTGACTCCGTGAAAGAGTTCAAGAAAAACCACAATGTAGATGACTCATGATAGAATACAAACAGTAGTACTTTATCCATCATTTACATTGCAGCCATCAAACTCAGCAAGAAAAATCACAGAAATACAAAAAAATATTTAATAGACCCTAGCCTCATTGCATCAAGAAATCATACATTTGGGCTAAAAGATTGCTCAGTGGGTAAGGCTTCTTGCCAGCAAGCTGGACAAACTACTTCAATATGTGGAACCCACATGATGTAAAGAAAATCAACTCCTGTGACTTATTTCAACATGAATGCCATGGCATTCACAGACACAGACATATTCAAGTACCCATAAAGTATTTTAAATAACCATACATTAAAATATCAGTTAACCTTGTTTTTTTTGTTTTGTTTTGTTTTGTTTTGTTTTTGTTGATGTTGTTGTTGTTGTTGCTCTTTTATGTATTTTGGGATTTTTTGTTGTTGTTTTGTTTTGTGTTTTTGTTTTCATCCCCCTCCCCTAAGTGGAAGAGTCAACATCAAAATGTAAGTTAATTTAAAAAGTGCATGAGGGATGGAAGTTAGAATGGGGATGCAGTAAACGTGAAAGCATCTTTTGAGAGGGTGTTTGCAGACTCTAACAGAAGAGTTCAGCTGCTCATCTGCCCTTCAACTAAGACTGTCCTCCTCTCGGAGGAAAATTCATCCTTATCAATTCATCCTGCAGCTTTGGAACTGAGAAACCTGGAGTAGTGAGGAAGAAAGGAGACACCACTTAGCCACATCAGATAAATCTGCCTGGCAGGTGATGGAGTGACAGAAGTTATAGACAAATGACCCTCACTTTCAAGAATAAGTCTTAAGTCTTATTCACTAGCAATACTTGATGCATTTTTCTGTCCATGAATTTATGAACTGAATCAAGGTCATAAAGCACATCTTGATTTAATGAATATTAAAAATATAACATTTTACAATTGAAAGTGAATAAAGTACATATATCTATGCTCTTCCAGTGAATTTGTATAATGAATAGAAGCAGGTAAAAGGAAGAAAGACGGGGAGGGAAAGGACAGGTTAGACTAAGGAAGAGAAGAAAGGAGAAGAGAGGAGAGAAGAGAGAAGAGGAGAGCAGAGGAGGGAAAAAGGATAGGACTATGTAAGGAGGACAAGGGGGGCTGGACACAAAGTGAATGTAGACAAGGAAATGGAAAAGCCCAGGGAAAAGCGGGAAAGAAGGGAGAAATGACAACCTTGGTTCACACTAAAAGGATAAAGTATGAGTCACATACCATGGTTAATTCAACTTTGCTTCTGAGCTCCTATTAACAGGAAAAGTGGGGTTGAACTATTTCCCATTGCTAGTGGGTGTGAAGTTAGATAGACTGGAAAAAAACCTGGTAATAATACAAAATTTTGAAAATGGCTATACAACTTTCTCAGTTTATGTGATATTTTAATATCTATCATTGCATTCATGTACCTCATCTTTAATTGCATTAATGGTTTTTGTTAAAGACAGATTAGGCTCAGAATGTCAAGGTGAAATTGACCTTTTTACACAGAGTTTCACACTCTCTCAGTTAGTTAGCTGAGCCACAGATAATGAGTACTAGGCAACTACTCTCAATTGCTAAAACAAGAAGGCTGTTCATTTAGGCTTAATAAGGGAAAAAGATAGGAAAGGACAGGAAGGAAATTTTCAGAAAACTTTAAATTACTGTTAAATTTAGCAATCCTTTCTGTAACAGTCTTGATAAACGAATCTTACTTAGAACATTGAGGTTCTTGGAACTCTGACTCCAAGGGCTTTTCTTGAGAAAAATTTAATAAATGAAAAAAATAAATCTGGATGGTATCATTTGCATGAGACAGTGGGTAAACATGCTTGCCTCAAAGGCTTATCCAGTTTCTAGAGTCCAGGAATATATGTACAAAAAATTAAAATAGAAAGCCCAATTAAGTGGTATGCATCTCTAATTCCTTCAATGGAATAAAAGGAGAAAATAGAATTGCTTACAACCTTTACATAGGTCAGCAGGAGTACACAAACAGCCCAGCAGCAGAAATACCAAGAGAGACCATGCCTCAAATAGAAGGTGAAAGGAGAGAACAGATTCCCCAACATTCTGAAATGCCGGAACTCTTGAAAGCACATAGGAGCCACAGCATGCACACATGTGCACTCACATACGCATACACCACTATGAACGAAAGAGAGAAAACTAAATGAAGGGTTACTTATTACCTCAGAAGAACCATGTACCCAGGTATGGCTGCAAGTGAGTAGATGAAACTGCCAATTACTGTTAAGATTAAAAAGTACTGAAACTTGTTAGCACACCCAGGGCCTTTATTACACAGCCCCAGGACTGCAGATGAGTTTCCTGATGACAGAATGCAGCTGCAATTTTGAAACACCTGTCAAAAAAGAAGAAAGATATTGGGCTTAAACTTTCAGTATTGTCTGCACAGCTAGTTGGATCTAAATACAGAATCTTGGGTCAATGATGGTACTCAGAGGAAGAACACTCACCTCGTTTGAATGAGGATCCAAGTTTGAGCACAAATGCCATTAAATAGGAAACACTAAATAATTAAAATGCAGACTAATTGTCCTCTTTATTTTCATCTCCTTTTTGGTATCTCAGATTATATCATTAAAATATAAAAGGTAGATTTTAAAATTTGGTATATTTTAAACATAGTGAGTAAATTTGCAAAAACTCACTTATTTTGAATTCACACATTATCTTTAACTTCTGTTTGTTTGTTTTGTTTTACTTGTACGTATGTGTGCACATGTTGTGCATATGTGTGTGTGCATACATGTGCATATATGTGTCGATGTCTGCATATTGTTGTGCCATGGCATTCATGTGAAACTCAGGAAACAGTCTATGGGATTTAGTTCTCTCTTTCTACCATGGGAAACCCAGAATATGATTCTGGTAGTAAAACTTGCTGACAAATGCCTTTACCCAGTTAGCCAATTTTCTAGCCTGTAGATGATTTTTAATAATTACATAAAAATGGCTTTGTTTGTTTTTACCTACTACTAAGTGCTAAAATATCATGTGTCTCAGAATGTTGATGGAATAGTTAGATACTTAATAATAAAAAAATTTATGTCCCCAAAGAAAAGTGTGTTTACTTAAAAAGTAAAGCTAATATTTTTTTGAATTATTATGTTTCCAAGTGGGATTATGAATGAACCACCTCTAAGTATTCTAGCATGTTTAAGGAAAGGAAATATGCTTGATTCTTTATCATGTTAAACTATCATGATGGGGGCTGGGGAGATGGGACAGTCAGTAACGTCCTGTACAAGCATGAAGATGTAAATTCACATCCCCAGCACACATGTGAAAAATGCATGAATAGAGGATGTATTTGTAACACTGATGCTCTGAAGGTGGTAACAGGTGATTCTCTGCAGGGTGGTGGACTATGAGAGGAAGTGTGGTAAAGTGGAGCTAAAGGCTTGAAGCCCCAGAGACCCTGAAGGGACAGTAGGAGCTTTGCCTATTCTCAGAACCAGGCTCCTGTCATGTAGCCACAGCCGCCTATAGATTTGTGGCCATCAGTCACATAAGGGCAATTCCCCCAAGCCCTTCAACATGTAGCTGAGACAAGCATCACATCTCAGACCAAGACAATATAGAAAAAGAAATATGAGCACAGTCAAGTAGGCTCAAAACAGAGTTCTCCATTCTAATGAGGTACCTAGAAGCCTGGATGGTGTTGCCAATAAACTTCCAGTCCCAGACATTCCTTCCTGCAAAAGGTATTTAATCTCAGGCCCACCCTGAAAAGTGGGGTATGGTTTTATGCATCCACTTTCCACCATGACAATATGCTGTTTGGAACCATGAACTGACTCTTTCATCAAGATCTGCTGTCAGGGAGCCATGGAGAAGGCCTTCGTCTACAGAGTCGCACCTTAGTCTCCTGTAGATGGCCTCTCTGTGCTCCCAGCCATAACTGCCACCAAGCTGACAACAATCTCTCTGCTGGAATAAGCTAGACAGAGATCCCCTTTCCCCCACACCCACCCCATTCCCAGGCTAGACACTGTCCCCATCCACAGGCGACGACTCCCATTCTCAGCTCTTCAGCTATTATCTGCAGTCCTTGGATGTCCAAGAGTATGAGAACCCCACAGCTCTGGCCTCATCACAGGCCCAGGGAACCCCAAGCCAGCTTCATATTTTCCACATCTCAGGCTGTGCCTTCCAACCCCTGGAGCAGCATCTTGGTGCTTTGCTCCAGCCCAGTACCCACTTCAGTGGAGGCATGTGGTAAATGCAGTCAAACTCCCTGTGTTCCATCCCACCAAATGGCTGGGCCCAATGGTGAACATGGGCCAACAACCATACAAATCCATGGGTTAACTTACCAGGTAGCTTAACAGAACCAATAAATTCTAGAACACAGATCCTGTCTCAGAAGCACAAAGTACATGGGACCTGAGAATCAAGAGGTACTTACATTCTGGCCTCCATATGCACATGCTCTTGTATACCACATACATACAACCACAATAAATAAATAATAGATAGATAGATAGATAGATAGGGGACAAAAAGTTCATGATATGAAAAGTTTTCTTGCTCAACTACAGAGCAAGTCTGAGACCATCCTGGAATTCATGAAACCCTATCTCTACAAAGGAAAAATTCTGTGCAGAGTAATTAATTAATTTTAATGTTAATTTTTTAATGTATGCCTCTGTATATGTGTTAATGCAAACAGGTTCATGCTGGTGCCTGAGAAAGTCAGAAGACTGTCAGATGGTCTGGAGCTGGAGTTTTGAGCTGCACCTTCTGTCTTCAGGGAACTAAGTATGTCCTCTGAATGAGCAGCAAGTGCTCTTGATACCTGAGCTATCTCTCCAACCCCATTTAAACTCAGATCATTTGAATAATAATTTCCGCTCTTTGAAATTACAAAATAATGGTCAGACTCTGTCAAGGTTTTATATAATCTCTACATCAAGTATGTATATACAGAGTAAATTGGGTTATTCACAAAAAATATTAATCTATTTTAAGCAAGGACTACCCTTTGCTTTTTAGCAGAGGAAGGCTTAAATCATAGCACATGTTAACTCAGGACACAAAACATCAGCCTAAACACTGAAAGGATTTTTACCATGTTGGTTCCAGTTCCAACGAACTTCTTACAGCCTGCGAGGCAGGCTGACATGTATGCTAGGCCGTTGTCTCCACACACTGGATCCCATGTGTCCGTTACGCAGTTACACCTTGCGTTGCAGTCAGCAAGGAACTTATTCTCCGCATACAGTTGGTGATGAACTCTAAAATGATTTGAAATAATGCCATGAATTCTGAAAAATCTACCCAAGCACTTTATTTTCTTCTTTTCATCTCAGCTTGTACACACAGGAGGAGAGAGAGAGAGAGAGAGAGAGAGAGAGAGAGAGAGAGAGAGAGAGAGGAGAGAGATCTGTTCCTCCAGAACAGAAACAGAAATTATTCATATATCAACCTGTGGTCTCTATACTATGATTCACATAACAACATGTGGTCCCTATACTATGATTTTAGCACACAAGTAATATGCTCCAATTGTTAGTATAAGTCCGAACTCAGTGACGTCATATCCAGGAGACAGGCAACGACTTCTACATCATTGTCAAGGCAACCGATATACACTCCCCCTCCCACAATTCACTTGGCCACCTCACCTGTACCTGGGAAAAGCTACCCCATCGCTCATCCAAATAGGTGAAACTCCCCCGACCTCACTCTCTCTTCTCTTCTTCCCCCCATCCCATCTTCTCCCGCTTGTCTCCCACCCTCTCCTGTGGAACCGGCTGGTCTGCTGTGGTCTGTTCTAAGCTGTGTGCCGAAATCTTTCAGCAATGGTCTTATGAATGCATTTTAGTTATATCAGAACCAAAACTAAAGTACCTACCCTATGGGAAAATATTCTGCTGTCAGAGTTAAATTGGAGAGGGCCAATCTCTCATTTATATGCATGAAAGGAAATAATGATAATGATGGGAAATAATAAAGAGGGCTGACTTGAACAAAATCTGAAATTTCCATTTATAAGATAGGTGGTGCGTTTAGCTCGCAAAATGGAGTGTTTGACTGGTCACAAATGCTCTTCTCAGAAAGTACCCAGCACTGACAAAGAGATTTAAGCAGGAAAATGTGGGAGTCTAGAAGCTAAATTCAAATCCTGTCCTTCAAGCACAATGTAGAGTCAGCATGACAGAAGATGGACTTAATATGTACAATTCTACTCTGGTGGTGTTGGAGCCATCTTTTGTAAACACACTAATTGCCCCAGAGTTTCAATTTGTACATCTCTAAAGTGAATGAAAAATTTTCCAACTTAAAAAATAAATAAAATTAGATGAATATATATATATATAATTATACTTGAAAACATGTAAATACTACAATTCTTAATAATGTTGAATTTTAATTTTAATCTCTCTGTCTCTTTATCACTCTCCCTCTCTTTCATGAGTGTTTGTGTTTGTGTGTGTGTGTGTGAGTGTGTGTGTGTGTGTGTGTGCAGTTTGTGTGTAGGAACGTGTTTACAACAGTGTATATGAAGTAATCAGTTGATAATCTTCCACCTTGTTAGAGACAGAGTCCCCTGTTGCTCACTGCTCAAATGCCAGATTAGCAGATCCATGAACTTTCAGGTTTCCTGCCTATGCCACTCAGCTCACAGTGGGAGACCTAGGATTACAGAAACCCTACAGCGTCTACTTTTAGATGGGTTCTGGGGATCTGAACTCAGGTTCCTCTGCATGGATCTCTATTACTGTGTTCCCCACCATTCTGAAAGGAATCTCAAGCACATGGTCTACTTCATTTTAACTGATTAGTTGATCTTACAACTGTGCCCTAAACTAAGTTTTACATTTCTCAGGCTAATATATAATATGACCAGGAAACAGGTAAAATGCAAAATCGAAGATTACAGTGTACATGTGATATACCTATACCAGTGACGTTTATAAGCATACGCATTGACTTACCATGCATTAGATTCAATTATGATAGATTTGAGCCCATTGTAGATACTTATAAAGGCTTGTAACCTGTACAGTCAACTTTAAAGCTACCTGTTTAGAGGAGTATGAGATACATGAATAATCTAGGCTACAAAGCTCTAGGTTACTTTCTTTTATTACACTTTAAAACAGACAGGGATATCACCCACCACCCATGTGCATTTGGGATAGACTTACACGCTGATAGTCCTCAGACCTTTTTAATAAGCTCACACCTTGTATGAGATGGCATAAAATTGATGAATGGAAGAAAAACATAAAATAACCATGGATCACTGCCATTAAGTCATAATAAAATTATCTGGCCATTTTACAATTTGAAGAAAGTGAACAGCAATTGTGGAAATATTTTGATCTTCATTGGGAAACAACATACCCTTTATAAGAGGCAGTTAATCCAGCAACTGGGGCATTATCACAGGTCATCATAAAGTTACAGAAATAAAGAAGATATTCAGACAAGGATAGGCAGAATGCTAGGTATGCAGCTTTCTTGACAGTAATCTTAAACTTCTTCATAATAAAGCCACCAATTAAATATCCAAGGCATATTGGAGGGAAGGAATAAACACCTATAAACACAAGAGAAATAATATTCATCAGGACATCAGAAAAATAAATGTTATCATTCTGTCTAATAAATCTTACTTAACAATTTATCTTAAATATACTGTGATTCTACCCCTATTTACTCAAATATTATATAAAATGAGGTTTACAAATGCCCATAACACCACTTTAAAACACAATTAGCATTTACTTAATTATTTGCAGGGTGTTGTAAACACCTTTATGACCGTTATACAACACACACACAATATTGAATATTTCATTTGTTTCTTTCCACTTGGTGTATTGGGAATTTGACTTTGCTTCAGGTGATTTTGAAGGTTGCTACTGAGTCTCAGTTTATCAAATGTAAAACATTTTATGCATAATTGATGTCCAGGACTTTTCCTTCCTGACTCTCTTTCCCTGTACAAAAACAAAGGAGAGAGAGAGAGAGAGAGAGAGAGAGAGAGAGAGAATATCCTGTGTAGGGAAGATTCACACAACACTAGCCCCAGGGTTAGAAGAATTTAATCATCCTTTACAGCAGCACACCACTACATTGAGTTTTATACATCTTAGGGTGAGGATTGGGATTTGTACTTTCAGGGAATTCTAGATAATGTGGCAGCCCATGAATCTCACTTTTCAAGGGTTAAGTAGGGTCCCTGGATTTAGTGTAACTAACAAGAAAAGCAGAGTGTGGCTCGCAGACTTGTCAGACAACAGGGGTCTGAGTAACTGAATTCAGAGGAATGTGGAGAGAAAGAACTGAAGCCCAGATATAGCAAGTGGGTGTAAGATATAGTGGGTTAACTCTGTATTCCTCTTTGAATTAACATATTGGTATTTGAAAACTGACAAATATGAGCTTCTCCTAAGATTCCTATAACTATGATGATTTTCATTCGGTTTGGAGAGAAATCAGAGAGGGAATTTCGTGTTTCTTTCTTCTTTTATTTTTTTCTTGGTTTTCTTGGAGATTGGAAGGAGGAAATTTACCAGACTATCCTAAGAAATTTCATTTCTTTGTATTCTCCAAGTCACATTATCTTAATGTTAAACATATTCTTGTGTGAGAGGAAGGTGCTACTAAGTAATGAACGTACATACCTATGAGGAATACTACCTCTGCAGTCGATTTTCTAAATTGCTGTTCCAGGTATTTGGGCACGAAGGTAAACATATTGATGAACGCGTTTATCTGGAGCACGCTCGTAAGGACGAAAAGCATGTAAATTGGATTGCAGAAGAGGCTCTTCATGAATGGCAAGAAATCTGAAACAAGAGAGCATACAGACTATGAAACTAACTTGGCCTTCCTTGCATTTTACGTCCAGCGTTCTCCTAAAATATCATCGATTCTTTCCTATAACACAAATATATTTGATAAATCTTTACTCCTTGGGACTAAAGTTCTATACCACTGTTTAAGTCACGATGAAGTTAGCGACACAGCAGGCTATATATCAATCAAAGCACAACTGTGAGGACAAACAAAACTATAAATGATAGGATTATGTCTCTGTCCACACTTCATTTGCTTCTCTCTCGATTCCTTCTATCATGCATTCACCAGAGAGTGATTAATCTGTTTTCTGGTGTCAGCAAGAAACCAGCTTTGATGAAGTTTCCTTTCTGACTCTGAAGGTATTACCCCTTAATATACGAATGGATAAGCTAATAGCTTATGAATGCTCCAGGAATCATACTGCAGCCCAAACAATACCAGCATCTTGCCAGCTCTTCACAGAAGGACACATATAAGAAACACCTAGTGATAATCATAAAGGTCTCAACTCAAAAGTCTCACTTTAAGTAATGCCATCAAGTTGGTGTACATCAGGAACCTTCCAAATTTGCTGTCTTTAAGAAGCTCAAAGTCAAGTTTGTAGCCTGTGTCTAGGAAATGGATTGGATCTCACTGAAGATGATTTGGCTGAAATCCACAGTTAACCATCTCTTTCCTTTTCATGTCTTCATGTCTTCTGCTTGATTTTCTAATTTTATACTATCCTTCATAAATTACCTCAAGTTTTATTTAGATAAGTGTACCAAGAATAAAAAATTTAGAAGTAGAGACAGAGCAGTTCAGTGAAAAGAAAGGGACTGTAGTGGCAAAACCCATTTTTATGAATGAGATGGTTGCAGTCAGTATTCCTGGGAGCTTTGGAACTCACCATGTTTGTTGACATCCCTGTCCTCCTAAATGAGTCCCCAAGGTTCACAGTTACTTTCTGTATGTCTTATTCTCTGCTAAGCTCTTTCCTATTTTTGAAGTTTTGGTTGATCTAATAGATCACAAAATTGTACACATGTCAACATTTGCCCTTTCTGGAGAATCTATATCATGGCTATGATTCTAAGATGCTTCAAGTCTCTGCACTAGCTCCAAGTGTGATTGGCTCCTCAGCCATTGTCTCTAATGTTTAAGGCAGATGTGACCATTCAGCACACATTGGTGTTGGGGCTTGTGAATGGTGGAGGAAATAGCAATATCATCAGTAAAATGCCCACCACAGTAGTTTGTACCAGAACAATACAGAAACCCAGGCTATAACTCAGTATTACCTTCATTTGACAGGTAAAGCACTGGCATCCCATCTTTCAACTATATATTTTCAAACTTCCAGAGCCTAAGCCATGCCCCTTGTATTACTAACTCTGATTTCTGGAGAATACTACACAATTTTGAAAATAATTCCATGTTTTAAGAATGGGCACTGCTGAACAACACTCCACTGTCCCACCATAGCTTCTCACAGAAGCATCTCTACTTTGCATTGTCAGTTAGTAACATTCCTGCTTATTTTAGGACAGTTTGTCCTAAGGGAACATGTCTCCTATAAACTCCCACACACGATCAAATATAGTGTGTTATGTCATCTATCAGCCTTGACATTAAGGATGCTTACAGCTAAACATTTTTCTTATCAAACAGTTTTTTATCTTTGCCTTTAACTTTGATTTCTGTTTTTTTTTTAACTTGAACTAATATTTTCTGTAAATTAGGAGTGCCAAAACAGAAGGGAAAATATATTTGTTGATTGAGTGTTCAGATTGACTTAACACTTCATTATTCTAATCTAAAATAAGCCAAGCTACCTTTCATATCAGTTATTTTCAAGTGGTGACTGTGGAAGACATTTAACACATCTGAGTGGGGACATTTGGTAACAAACTGTCTTAACTCACACAAGTGACAAGTGCTCACTAAACACAGACCCATCTAAACCAAATAGAGTTTAAAGTTTTCATGTTTGCCTTTTGTGATTCCAAGGTTTTCCTTTTTCTTTCTTTCTCTATATTTCTCAACTTTCTCATATATAGTCATATCCACATTATCCTGTTGTCCTTTTCTTGGGAGTGTTTTTGGAAAAAAGAAAAAGGGAATGCTCGTCAGGATATTCACTCCTGCACAGACCAAAAAGCCGATCCACCAAGCACCGACCCAGCGTGTATCTGTGGGAGTTATGGTCAGGTCATCTGTAAAGAAATGTATATATTGTATTAGCTTGAATAATTTTTTCCTTAGTAAACTGTAGAAAAATTTTACAATTCATAAATTCATCTAAACATAATCTTTGTATATCATTGTTCACCATTCACACATTTGTTATCATTCTTCTTTGTGTCTTGAACTTGTGATCATCTTTATCTGCTTCCCACGTGCTGCGATTACAGGCACCTACCACCTCACTGGGGTAATTCAGACCTTTAGAAAAAGTATCTGATCTGTTTTGTGAAGTTAAATTAAGTAAGAAGAAAAGAGTCTATAGTGGTACATGTAGTACTAGTTAACATTTATCTCAAAAGATAGAAACAAAATTTGAGACATATAAAAGAAACTAGGTTTGTCCTGATGTAGTCATGTCTTAAAACACCACAAAGGATGAGGAAGGGTCCAGAGAGACAGCTCATTGGCCAAGAATTATTTATGCTTTTGCCTGCAATTCTGATTTCAGGAGGTCTGACACCCTCAGCAGGCAACACCACAAACATACATAGGGATACATATATACATAAAAATAATAAAACAAAATACATGGTATCCAATTATTTTTTATATTTTGTGTATTCATTAAAAATTAACTATTTTGGGAAGAAGTGGGGACAGGAAAAGGATGGATGAAGTCGGAGGAGGAAAGAGGGAGAGAGATCTAGTAGAGACACCTAGAATTGGAGATCATCCTTGGGGTGAGCTAGAAGCCTAAGGCAATGAAAATTCCCAGGAATCAATGAGAGTGACCTTAGCTAAGACTCTCAGCAATGTAGAATCTGGAGTCTGAACTGGCCATCTCCTGTAGTCAGGTGAAACTTCCAATGGAGTGGTAGGGACACCAACCCACTCACAAATGCTTAGACCCACAATTTGTTCTGCCTACAAGATATGCATTGGTAACATATGGAACAGAATTTGTGGGAAAAGCCAACTAATGACTGGCCCAGGTTGAAGCTCATGCCATGAGAAGGAGCCTACCCATGACACTATGAATGATAGTTTGCTACAGTAGCAGACAGGAATCTAACATATTTGTAATATAGAGACATATCCAACAAATGATCAGAACAGATTCAGAGAGCCACAGCCAAACATTAAATGAAGCTTGGGAAATCCTGGGGAAGAGAAGGAGGAATGATTGAAAGAGCCAGAGAGGCTGATACAACAACAACAACAAAAAAAACCCTACAGAATAAACCAACCTGAGTCCATAGGTGCTCAGAGATACTGAACTGCCAACCAGTGTGCATGCATGAGACAAATCTAGGCCCTCTGCACATGTGTTAACAGTTATACAGGTTGGTCTTTATGTGGCCTCTTAAACAAGGAGCTGGGGCTGTCTCTGACTGTCTTACCTGCTTTGGATCTCTTTCTTCTAACTGAGCTCAACAGAAGAAGGCACAACTAGTCATATTGCAATTTCCTGTGCCAAGGTATATCTGTGGGAGGCCATCCCTCTTTAGAGTGGATAGAGGGGGAAGAAGATGGGGGGAGGAAGATAAGAGGGAGGAACTACAAAGAGAGAAGGTAGGGAAACCTGTGATAGAGATGTAAATAACATAATTAATAAAAAGACTAAAAATAAGGAAAAATAACTAATTTTATCTAGCATTTTGTGATGAAATATTTTCCATCAGCAAATGAGCTTTTCTGTCTGTCATGTGAAAATTTCATAAATTGATGGTCATCACATAACTGAAACACTAGTTTTGTTATCCACAGTAACTGCCTTATTAAAAAAAAAAGAAAACAGTGTAAAGTAAATTTTAAAACAAATATATGGCTGAAATGTGGTGAGAGAATGGTGGATTTTGAATCAGAATTTGAAATTCTATCCTTAGCTCTGTTCCCCTTAAGTCTGCCATCTGTAAGCAGTGCGTATGTAAATTATGATCAAGGGAGGCAGTGGTATAACATTCCTGAGCCTTTGCACACACTTTACAGACTGGACTTTATGGAAAAAAATATCTTATGGCACCTATCAATAATAAATTTGATGGCCTATGGCTTTGGTAGAAAATAGAATTTAGAATATCTGGGAGACAGGAAAGATTCTGGGATAATGTCCAGCATGGGATATTTGCCTGAGAAGATGTGACAAGATGGATGCATGTACCTAAGCATAGGTAATCAGCCAAGTAGCAGAATGTAGATTAGAATGAATGGGCTAATTTAAGTTAGGAGATGCTCAGAGAAGAGCCTGTCTATATGGCCAAGATATTTGTAAATGTATTTTGACTCTGAGTCTTTTTTTCTGGAATCATGGGACTGTGAGGAAGAACCAGACTCAATTTCTACAAATGTTGCCTAACCACATTATAGAACCAAGCTAACTTGAGATAATTTTCTGAATAGAGGGAACAGTTCTCCATGAAAGCAAAATAGCGTTAAAGTTCTGTCTTTTTAAGAAAAGAGGAAAAAAATAAGCGATGCTTTAAAACTTTTCTAAAAGAGTGACCCTACGTATAGAAAGGCTACACCTAGGGGGAATGGAGGCCTATAAGCAGCAGATAGTGAGTGGGAATGCACACAACCTTCCATGGGTTCAACAGCTCAGTTTGGATCACACAACTAAGACCTAAAGCAACAGCCCAAGCAACAGCCAGAGTGCCCCTCAGAGAGGAGCAGATGAGCAGTTGCTGAGCTCCAGGCAGAGGGTTGGGAAGGAACATAAAGGCTCCAACCCTATTCTACCATGGGCCTACTACATTCATGGAGTAGGCAGAGGCCAGAGGCTCTGGCCCAGGTAAACATGGCAGGACATATGGATTTGAGATTAACAGTGGACAGAACCCCTACAGGGCAGTCCAGGACTGCTCAAAGCCAAGAGAGCAGAATGGGTCTCAGAAAAACGATGAAGTCAGGGTGGGGACCCCTGCTGATAGATAAAGCTGTTTGCAAATGAGTCTAAAATCCAAACTGAAACATTTCTTCCTTAAAGGTAACTTTTGCTTAATAGTAAGCAAGAATGTTCTTAGTAATCTAAAAAATGATTAACTATCTACCTTAAATTTATATACAGAAAGAGAAAATAGGCATATTTACCCACATGAGGTATGTTTGATTTCAATTTGAAAGATAATGCTTTTTTTTTTGTCTGTTGCCAAAAAGCATTTTGCCCTAGGAACATCATATTCTACGAGTTAATGTAAGGACTGTAAGTTAGGGTTGGGGCAGGGTTTATTGCTTTTATCTTCCAGGAGAAGAAATCATCCAACTAAGGAATTCAGAGACTACTGGACAAAAGAAACATCTAAAGAAAAATGATGTATCATTAAGATCCACGAAAAGGGGTAAACAAGTGACATAAAAATAATACTGTTACACTTATTAATTGTATTTGTTACTTATCATCTTGGCAATGCAGAATAAAAATGGCTTTTATTTGAGGAGATAAATAAATCAAATAAAAAAAGTCATAGAGATGATGTGATATTGTTTTACAATGTGTTTGAATGTATGCTTAAGTAAAAGTTATTTAATAAAGTTGAATAGAGTGAAGAATGTTAAAATAAGAGAAAAAAAGAATGATAGATATATCTACATAAAAAGTAGATATACAAAAAATGAGATGGAGATAAAAATGATACAAATGTTTTTAAGAGTACATAGATGCTAAATAAATAAACTCATACCTTTGATCCCAATACTTGGGTGACAAATCAAAAACAGATAAGTTCCTTGTAAACTCAAGGCCAGCCTTATCTACAAAGAAAAATCCAGATCAGCCTGGGCTACACAGAGGAGCTCTGCCTCAATAAATAATAATCAATATATTTTATTATAGAGGAGTATATTTGGACACCATAAGTTTGTTTTGATTTGGCAATATGAGCATGGTTACATGGTCAGTGGTAATGGTGATATTATATATCCTCTTTGAGAGTAGTCAAAATGGAGCAGACCTGAATAGAAAAGAGACTGCTATTGGATCAGTCTATACTTATAATGACTTCAAATTCCTGGAAAATTATTATACTGGGGGGATACTTTGTGTATGTATCAACAGGAAAGAAGAAATGATTTTAGATTTAACCCAAAGCAATAAGCATCAGATTTGATAGAGGAAGACCCCCTGGAGATCTTAGCTGCAAACAGGAAGAAAGGAAAAGAAGACCAAACAGAACAGGTAACATGATTTGCTTGTCCCTGTATATGGAGAAGCCCTGAAACTAGCTGAGACATAAAAATGTCTCTGGCCAGAACTTTAGGTATACATAGTCAATGGATCTTATTGGCTGGAGAGTCGTTAAGATTCATCATGCCATCCTTTCATATAGCTTGGAAGTAGGTTTATATTGTAGTTTGGTTATATGATCCAAACTAACTTAAGGAAAATGGATGTCTTTCACCTGCTCAAAAAGAAAACAAAGAATCTTCATTAACTGGTCTGTGCACACTGGACATTCCATACATTGTGTTAATAGGAAAATACATGTTACCTCTGAAAGCTTTATGTTCACAGAAAAAAAAAACCAAACAACAAAAACAAAAACAAACAAACAAAACAAAAAGAGAGTCTTGACAAGATTTGCCTTTGGGAATGTTGAGATGCTGAGGCTTAATGTTCCAGCATCCTGCCTGATCCTACCTCAGACTACATCAATGCTGTTTTTCCTAAAGATTGTTTCAAGAAAAACTTCAGGACATCTAGATTATTTGGTCCAACCTTACAGACTGTTCCAATCAGGATTTCACTTAACTCTGAACTCTCTCAGAATGTAGATTGAACAACCAAAGCTACATCTAGGTTTCTTAAGACTTAACTATTTTCCCATTTTTCTTGGTTCCCCCAAAAGAAAACTTAGCCCCATTCCCAAGAGATTGGGTGGAGGATTTTTGATCATTCAATTGGTGTTGGATGTTTGTTGTCATTTAATAGGGGAAGATTACAATTAGTTATGAATTCAGACAGGTAGAAGACCAAATAGGGAGATGGGATTCAGGGATTTCTTTTTTCCTTCCCTTCCTTTTCTCTAACCTTTTTTTTTCTTTATTAGGTAAGAGAAATGGGTTAAAATGAAAACTGGGATATGCAAATATTACAAGACTATTAGACAAACAGAGATAGATTATTGAATCTACTCAGATATAACCAAACAAAAAATTATAGCCGTAATCTTACATTGGTGGAGCTCTTTATTTCGAGGCAAAATTGAGGTTATATATTGTTACACTAGTATAAAATTTTCTATATTGATACACAGATAAGTTTATTTTAATAAATCTAATAAATTTATATAAGTTATGTATAACTTAACATACATAGGTTTTCAATCTTTATTTGAAGTACTATATAACTCTGAAAGACACAATATAAAGTTCTAGTCCTTTTAAAAGCTACCCTTACAAACTGTTAGGGATAAATAAAATTACAAATTGATACTCAGGTAGTCAAACTCGTGGTCATATTAGATCCTAGTTTAGTTAATTACAATAAGATGCTTTCAAAGTTATTCAGATAGTAAATAACTAAAAATAAACAGTGTTTCTTAATTCATATATACTATTGATAGACAGTTTTCAAAAACATCAGAGAGCCACAAAATAAGGCATTTAACATTGTATCATTATTAAAAAAAAAGTCTTTTTGACTATGATACAGGTCTGCTCCTGATAGTACCACCATTTCAGTTCAAAGATGATAAGCATCAATAACAACCTCCATATGGAGTTGCTTCAATTGTGGCAAGCTATCCACTGGGCAAAGAAAATGTCCATGCTTCAACTGTAGCCCACAACATTGGGAATTTGGAATTTGAATAGACCACCTCCTGTAGCCAGGCCAGAACCCTAGTAGAGAGTTAGGGACACAACCACGCACAAAACTTCGGACCCAAAATGTATCCTGTCTAAAATAAATAGAGGGATGGGGGATAGAACAGAGACCGAGAGGATGGCCAACCAACAAACTGCCCAATTTCAGACCCATCCCATGGGCAAGAACAAACCTCTGACACTATTAATGATACTCTGTTATACTTGCAGACAGAAGCCTAGAATAACTGAACTCTGAGAAACTTCCCACAGCATGTGACTGAAAAAGATGTAGAGACCCACAAACATTGGACAGAGCTCAAGGAGGAGGATTGAGAGCCCAGAAGGGCATAGGAACTGCACAAGAAGACTAATAGAGTGGACTAACCTGGGCCCTTGGGGCTCTCGCAGATTGAATCACCAACCAAAGAACATCTAAGTGTTGGGAATTGGTTATAATGCTTTGTCTTAATTTGGCTCCCAAAAGCCGCAGTTCCAGATATTGAGGGTCTTTATCCCCAGCTGTCTTTGATTGGTAATAAAGAATGGCCATACTGTCAATGGCTGGGAAGGGAGGACTTTTAGAATTCCCACACAAGGAATCAAGGGAGAGAGGGAGGGAGGAAGAGGAGAATCACCATGATGGGGGACCAAAGGGAACAGATTTAAAGGCCAGCTCACATGTAAGAACCATGGTAAGTGGCCACAGGGGTCACTCACCTGACTGGGCCTAGGGCACCAGAAATAAAATATCGATTTAGCAAATATTAATTCAAGAATACCAGACAGGAATGTGTGTTACCTGCAGGGAGGTTTAGAAGTGCCCAACCATTGAGCTAGTCAAGGCATATCAAAATTAGCTGGCATGTGTATGTCTTTCATTCATAAATCCAGAGTTCTTGAATTGGTGCAATAGCCTACACTTGCCAGAAGCCAAAGCAGTTTAACTAACTCTCTGCTACATACATGGGCTGGACCTAGGCCTCCTCACACATATGTAACATGTGCAGCTCAGGCTTCAAGTGAGTACCAAACAAGTGGAACAGGCACTATCCCAAATGCTGTTGCTTGTTCATAGGATATGCTCCTCTACCTGGACTGCCCTGTCTGGCCTCAGCAGGAGAGGATGTGCCTTGACCTGCAGAGACTTGATATACTTGGACGGGGGGAAGAGAGTCAGTGGGTCCCCACTCAATCAGAGGAGAAGGGGAGAGTGAATTGGGAAAGGATTGTGGGAGGATGTAATGAGAATGTAAAGTGAATAAATATTTTAAAAAGAAAGAAACAAATGCTGTCTAGAAAAGACAAATGCATGCAGTGAAGTCAACTGCCAAACTCTGCCAAGACAGGGTAAGAAAGTGCTTCATAACTCTTGCTTTACAAATATGTCTATCAGATAAACTTGGCCAGAAGGCTGAAGATGGATGTTCCAATATTATAGAGACAACTCTGGGGATCTGTTCAAGTAGACAACTATGACTGTCTTTTATATAATATTGTAAGCTGCTTCTCTACATTTTCTCCTTACTCAGGTAATGTTTATTTCTTCTCAGGTCTCTGATGGGGTTGAAGACTAGATGGTTATAGCCTCACAATTAAGTTTAAGTTGTTAAGGACTTCAGAAGATATTTTTAGGTTCATAACATAAGTTAGGGTTGAAATTTAATTAAGTACAAAACCTTAAACATGCCAAGATAGGATAGGTAATAAAATAGTATCAAAAGCTGTCAAACTCTATAGACTGGTCATTGTAAATGTTCCCTTACAGTTTTTTTTTAATTGTTTAGTAATTATTGTATTTGTATACAGGTTTTAGTTAAAAGAAGATCCTTTTACTAGACTCAACTGGGGAATTGTGTAGAAAATATCTTTAGTATGAATGGATGTCACACCTGTCAATAATAAATTGATGGCCTATATCATAGATAGGAAGTAGGAGGTGGAATATCTGGAATGCAGAATGGATTCTGTGATAGTGCCAGGCACAGGAAATTAATGCTTGGAAGATGTAACAAGATGAATTTATGGTACCTGAGTACAGGAAACCAGAAGTGACTGAATTTAGATTAGAATAACTGGGTTAATTTAAGTTATGAGCTAGTCAGAGAAGAGCCTAGCTATATGTCCATGGTACTTGTAAATATATTTTAAATCTGACTCTTATTTCTGGGAGCACGGGGCTGGCAGGAAGAGCTAGGCTTAACTTCTACAGGACTTCATAAATAAAATGCATTGTTTTACCTGTATTCACAGACCCAATGTCTACATACATGCGTGCACAGAAAGATCCCAACACAAGTCCAAAAATTGGGCCAACAACCTTCCCCATTTCCAAAATCCCTGGAATTAAACAAAAATAGAAATATACATAACCACATATGAATTTTCTTGCACACAAAAATCTGTGAGATTGAATTATTTATAATCTTGATTTCTTTTCCTTCCTTTGCCAAGCTGCATATAAATGTAATAGGGTAAGCAAAAGCTCTACCACTGAGCTGCATGCTCTATAACTGAAGATACATTTTATATATTCAAGATATTAAGAAATTGTGCTTGGTATCTATGTTGCATCTACATACATATGTTCATATAACATACATATGGCTATATATCATATGTATGTTACATGTACCTATGTTGTTGTTTATAAATATTGAGAAAGAATTTTTCATTGTTTCAATATTCAACATTCTCAGAAGATCATGTGTTAGAGAATTGTTTCCCAGGAGGGCATCGCTGGAGTCTGATGGAACCCTTCCCATTCAGGGCATGGTGGTGAGACTTCAGGTCATCTGGAGTAGAACCATAATCTCTTTCACTTTTTGTTGTATTTTTCCATCATGAGATGAATGAGTTTACCACACTTATCCTCCTGCCATAATTAGCTTCTTCATGCCAAAACCACAAGTCCAGCAACATAGGCCAAAACATCCAAAGAAGTGACCCAAGTGAACTATTTGTTTTTATAAACATTATCTCAGATATATATTAGAGTGGAGAGAAATTGACTGACACAGGAGCTTCATTACTTAAAGCAACCTTCCAAATTCTTTTTTATGTTAAGATAAATGCAAGGGTGTCGCTATCAGTCCCCTCAAAAACTGGATGTGAACAAAGCCCTCTGGTGTTTCCATAGCCATGTTTTAAAATGGCCACTATACTGGTTACCTTTCATTGTCAACTTGGCAGGACATGGACTTACCTAAGAGGAAAGCCTTAATGGAGTGCTGTCTACATTGGGTTTACCTTTGGACATCTCGGGAGTAAATTGTTTTAATTAAGTTAAATGATTTGGAAAGGCTAAGCCCTGTGGGCAGTTCTGAACTGAGTAAGAGTAGAGAAATAGCCTAACACAACCATGTAAGCAAAGGCATAGCATGCATACATGCACTCTGCTTTTGTAGGTGTGACCAGTTGCTTCGACTCCAGCTACTGTGGCTTAGTTGTTGTGCTGCAATTGTAAGTCAGATGAACTTCTTTCTCCAAATGAACCCCCTTTTCTTCAAAGTTTAATTTTCACACAGAAATAAAAAAGAAACTAGAACAGTTTCTAAATTAGTGTATGTTGTACTGCAGCTTAATCAAAGCTCCACTATGGAAACTTCTTTTCACAAAAAGAATGTGTCCTCATAACAGCAATTATCTTTGATGTTATCCTGGTTACCTTTCTTATCTTACAGTTATTTTCACTTCCTTGGTCCTTTCTAACCACACCATGGCTTCTTTGAAACTATCTCTAGCATCTCCCAATGTATTTTCAGTTCAGAATCCCTCCTAAATCATCCCTACCCACAGAAAATTCAGATATGAACAAAGTCAACTTCCTTCTTTCTCTTTACCTTATATCCTGTCTTTTCCTCTTCCTCTGTGGTTCTATGGGTTAGTCTTCCTCTATGTGCCTGACTTCTCAATACCAAACCCTTCTATCTTCCTAGTTCGCTCAAACACTTCCTTCTGTTATGTCCTCTATGCAAAGATTCCTACAAGATCTTCAACTTCTACTGAATTCTTTCCTGTCCTACACTCTCTGCCTGTCATTCTGCTCAGATAGTTTGTGATTCTAAGGTGCTCTCTTGGTACCAAAAGTTATCTCTACGATGGATCACATTCTCCACTATTGTTCTTTATTCTTTTAACTTACTTGACATTATTGGCCAACTCCTCATCTGTCTGCTTCCTCTTAACACCTTCTTCAAATTGTAAATTTATTTCTCACGTTGTTCCCATGAATAGTCCCTGTTGCCTATTTTGCTTCTCATTCTACCCACTAAGTAGAAGAGTTCTGAGTGTGGATTCTTATGAATACTCAGTACTTTTATGCATTCTCAAGGACTTTTATGCATTTCATTTCTTCTTGATTTAACGTATAGTCTACATAGATAACTCGCAGTTTTTATCATTGGCTTCTTTATCCATGCATCTACAGATCCATATATCAAATTGTATTCTTAATTTATTTGTTTTGTATTTATTTGATTATACACATTTATATAATTAAATGCCTATTCATTTAAGAAAACAAGCTACTTATGCACTAAATATGACTCCAAATTATGTATCTTATTCAGTTAATATAGTTATTATTGTAGTTTATATCTATGTATATAATTTGTCTCAAAATTTGATAAATAGATCTATTTTCTAAGATCTATTTATCATTGTAGGACATGCTTGTATTTTTTCTTAGGTGAATGAGAAGGGATCTAAAGAGAATGACTAAATTAACACTAGAAAAGATTACTGTCAAATTAATGTCTCCATAAAGTGACAAAGGTTATTTTTAAATTTAATTCATCTTCATTAATCCTACCTCTTTTCCTGTTATCTCTTACCCTATTTGGTTATTTATTTTTTTGTTTGATTTATTTTACATCTACATTAATTAAAAAAAAAAGTCTACATAGCAGTGGTTCTCATTCTTCCTAATGTTGTAATCCTTTAATATAGTTATTCCATAAAATAATTTTCTTGCTACTTAATAATGTTAATTTTGTTACTATTATGAATCACAATGTATATATCTGTGTTTTATGATGTGTTAGGTGACCACTTTGAAAGGGGCATTCCACCTCCAAAGTGGTTGCCAACCACTTAATGAGAATCACTGGTATATACAAAGTTAAATCAACTACAGAAAAATTTACTTAAATATATAGTCAAATTATTCATATTAAATTCAGATCATTTAGTAGATAACATAAGAAGATGGAAACTAAATTTACTCTTGCCTGGGAGAGCATACATTTTTTTAAAAAGATAATTTCAAGCAATACACCAAAAGAATGCATCCAGATATTTGTTAAAATGATAAAAAAAAAAAAACCTCTCTAGGCTGAGGGATTATAAGGAATGTAACTGTCCCATTTACTTCATAGAGAAGCAATGTGTAGAATTCCCAGTAGTAAAAGAGAACAGACGGTAAATAAGAAAATGATTGGTATGTTACACAGGATAGGGAATACAGGTTTAAAACAGTGTCTGGTCCACTAACATTCCAACGTTTATGAGTGCATGACAAGAGAAAACATCACAGGGCTGGCAAGATGGCACACACACACACACACACACACACACACAGAGGGAGAGACACACACAGAGAAACAGAGACAGAGAGAGAGAGTAAAACTGTATTTTAAAATACTATAGACACAAAATGGTCAACAATGGAATTGGAATAACTTATAAATAAAGAAATTAGAACCTAAAAGCTACAAAAATACAAAAGCAAAACAAAACAATTGAATCTAAGGAACATTTTCCAAGAATTGCCAGCAATTCTTTTAATGGGTTACAGATACCGTGGCAGCAACAGAGGACTGTTCTCTGGCAGATATAAGGGCTCTCCAACAATGAGAAGCTGTTTGATAAATTGGTAGATCTGGAGCTAGTGGTTTCCCCCATTTGAACAATCTCCTGACTAATGATACAATAGAATATTGTTCACTATGCTGAAAACTGCAAAGCATTGAAATCAATAATCACTTTCTACCTTTGTAAGCTGATTTTTAAACTTACCAATGTACAAAGGAGAGTTTTCTGATTTGGCAAAATCTTCAATGTAAGAAATACCCAAGGGCATGACGGGAGTTTCACCAATTCCACGCATAATATTTCCTACTAGTACATATATCCACATTAATGATTTCATTTCTTTCACACACTCTGCATTAAAACAAGAGAAAACCACATAAGTATTTCAGGGTTAAATGTTACTAACAGTTAATTCAAAGTTTTCTTTAAATGTTTCTCATGTCAGTGTTTTATTATAGCAGCAGAAAGTAAAATAGACCAAACTCATAGATCACATTGTGTATCTAAATTCATCTTTCTAATTCATTTTCTCTTGTGAGACTATCTCTACAATAGTGCTAGAAATAGAAATAGAGTAGAAAGCTATGGCTGGTTTGTTTGTTTGTTTGTTTTTTATACACACTTGAAGAAACAAAAGCATCTTAACAAGTATTTCCAAACTCAAGAGGGAGAGTATTCTAAGTTGTTAGATATCTCCTGTCCCTGAAAATGGAAATAAATTTTCCTTTGTCTTAACATGTTTACTAAACCTAGTTTCATATTAAAGCCCTTCGTAAAAAGTATTCTGTGGCCAAGTGTCTGAGCAGAAAGCAATGAGATGCAGGAGTCAACCTGTTGGGTCTTGCATTGGCTTTAAGGTTTGTGTTCTGTTTTCCATACACATGAAGCTGTTTGAAGACAAGTTGCTTGTAGGTGAAATCGTTGTTTCATATTCATATCTGTGTGGACACAGGAAACATTCACTATGAGAAGTTGAGTGTAAGGAGGGCTTCTGCAGATTATTGACTCCTGTTTTCCTGAAAACAGGGTATCCAGACCCAGTAAATATTGAAGAGAATTGTAAACAATTTCCTCAATCTATTATTTATCATTGTATGGATGATATCCTATTGGCTGATTTAGATATAAATAGCTTGGAAAGAATGTTTGAAGAAGTTAAAAAAAAAAATAAGTCCCTTGCTGGAGATTGCAAATCACCCCTGAAAAAATACACAGACAGGATTCTAGGAATTATCTAGGGTATAAAATAACTCTACAAATGTTTAGGCCACAAAGGTGCAATTCAGAAGAAACCAATTAAGGACTTTGATTTTTAGAAGCTGCCAGGAGATATGAACTGGCTAAAGCCTGCAATTGGCTTGGCTACTCAAGAGCTAAGCAATTTATTTCAATCCTAACAAGGTGGTAGATTTAAATAGCCTGAAGAAATTATCAGCTGAGGCTGAGAAAGAGTTAGCTTTGTTAGACTATGGGATCATTAATTGGGTTATTTTTGCTTATTTCTTCTGGTCCCTGGCCCTCAAATAGGCTGACTAATTCTGTGAAACAACAGATAAATAATTTGGTAGCAAAACCTATTCAGATACATTATCATAAGTTAACTATGGAGGACCACGAGACTCAAGATGAGGTTGTTACTGTATACAGGGTGTTCCCAAAACCCATCTCCACCCAACCTAAAAGGGGGGACTAGACCAAGCAGAGAGGGGCCACCCAGAACCCCCTCTGACAGGTGATCTGAATTCTTGCTTAGGCTGTGAGGCTAAGCACTGCAAGGGAATATAAATAAAAGTTAAAAATATCTCTCTGGATTCCCTGAGGGACAAGCCTGACTGCATAGGGGTTGATGTCAAAAGTATCCCCTCTCCAGGAAAACGACATCAGGATGGGTATGGCCCTCATGCCTCACTGGACAATGACAGGGGGACCGGAGCCATTTCAAGGTCCCTTCAATTAGTGGAGGTCAGGCCTCTATCCCCGCCTTTGCAAGATTAGAATTGCCACAGCCCTTCTATACTTAGAGAAGGGAGGAGATGTCAGGGGCATCCCTGATTACACACCGAAGGCCTAAAATCAGACACAGGCCTAAAATCAGCAATAGGCCTGTCATACATGTATACTAACACCAAGTCTTGGGTCTCTGTGGATAAACATTGAAACAGATGACTATAAGCTATTGTAAACAAGCAGCTTTTGTGGAAATTTACCAGCCTGAGTAGTCATAGACCTTATAAATAGGTAGCCTTGACAGATAATATCAACTTAGATAAGGGCAAGTGAATCATAGGTAGAGTCATAGTGACCTGTCCCCTGAACCCTCACCCAGCCGATACCCTGTTCTGAAAGATATCTGTATTCCCCCTGAACATCCACGCTCCAGTGTCATCCCCTTCCCCATGTTCTGCCTTTTTGTGTTTATAGCCCCTGTGTGAATGAGTATAAACTACGATTTGAAAAAAATAAATAAATTATTTAAAAAAAATTACAGGACACACATCTAGATCATATTAGTCCAAAGATGGCCTGAATCTTAGTTATCTTGCCTTATACTCATTTACCTACAGGAATTCTTGTGCAGAGGGAAGACTATATCTTATAATAGATACTTTTAGCACATAAACAGAGTAAGAACTTTAAAACCTACATAGAAGAGGTTTCTGAATTGATATTAGCAGGAAAAAAATAGACTTTGACTATTAGCTGCAGTGAATTCAGATGAAATTGTGGCACCTTTTACTAATGCGAAAATGGCCTGGTTATACATATATATATAGACATAGGATTAACATTGGCAAAGAATGTACAGTAATTTTTTGGAAAAGATTAGCAGCAAATAGTCTAAAAGCAAGTGACTTCAGTTCACTTAAAAAAAAAACGAATTGGATTCTTCCTTCTATAATAAAAGAACTCTAATTTCTGGTGCCCCTACATATCACACTGTGATAATAAATCAGAAAACGTGGAATATAAAGTAGAAGATGTAAATAAGTTATTTGAGAACCCCTATAAATCAGTACAAAAATCAGAATTATATGCATTATTTATGGTATGATCAGATTTTCAACAGTCTCTTAATATAGTAACTGACTCTCAATGTTCAGATAGGGTTGTTTTATACATAGAGACTGCTGATCTTATTTAGGATGATTCTCGATTGACTTCACTGTTTATTCAGCTACAACAAATGATCTGGAATAGGAGTCATCCACTGAATATAATTCAACATCCTGTACAGGTCTTCCAGGACCTCTGACACAAGGTAATAATGAAATTGATTTGCTAATGATAAGAAGTTTATTAGAGGCTTCAGAATTCCATAAAGCCATCGTGTTAGCACCAAAGATATAAAGGAAAAATTCTCTATCACTTGGTAACAAGCTAAACAAATTGTGAGGCAACGTGCTATTTGCTCATTATATAACCAAACTCCATTGCCTACAGGAAGTAACCCTAAAGGTATCCAAAGAAATGAAATTTGGTAAATAAATGTTTTCCATTTTACAGAGTGCGGTAAACTAAAATATGTGCATCATACAATAGACACATATTCAGGATTTTAGTGGGCCACTGCCTTAGCTTCAGAAAAAGCTGATTCTATATTATGCATTTGTTAGAAGTTATGGTCATTATGGGAATACTCATGCAAATAAAAATGGACAATGGTCCAGTATGTCTCTCTAATAAGATTAAGCAGGTTTTACACATTATAATATAAAATATGTTACAGGCATAACACATAAACCTATAGGAAAAGCAATTGTGGAGTGATCTAATAGTACTTTTAAAATGATGATTAACAGACAAAAGGGGACAACAAAGACCCCCAGAAATAGATGACATAATGTTTTATTAACCTTAAATTTTTCTAAAATGCTAATGAACAAAATGCTATGGCTGCTGAAAGACATTGGATTGTGGAAAAAGCCTGCTGAACCAAATCAGCCTATTTATTTTAAAGCTGGTCTAACATCAGAATGAAAACCAGGAAATGTGATATGCTGGGGGAAAGGTTATGTCTATATTTCCACAAAAAAAGAAAAGCTATGGGTTTCTTCTAAGTTGATAAACATAAGACATGACAAAGGGAGACCCCCTGAAGATCTTGGCTGTGTACAAGAAAGAGAAAATTGATAAGATCAAGAAGACAAGTTATTTTATGAATTATAGAAATCAACAAAAGTTTGATGTAATCCTGAGATAAATATTAAATTCCAGACCAGCCTGGGCTCCTTATCAACCCCCTATTGCAGAAAGCAAAGCAAAGCAGGACTGGAAAGATGCCTCAGTGGTTAAGAGCATTTGCTGCTCATGGAGTGGACCTGGTTCATTTTCCAGCACTCACATGATAGATGACAACCATATGTAACTCCAAATTCAAGGGATTAGACACCCTCTTCTAATTGCTGTATGCACCAGACATGCAAGGGGCTTACACACACACACCCATATGCACACACACACACATACACACACACACACACACACACCTAAAATATATAAAATATATTTTAAGAAAAGAAAAGGAAAGAAATAAATAATAAAAAAAAGAAATAATGGAAAAGAGAAGGGAGAGGCAGGAGGAAGAGGAAGATGAAGGAAGTAACATTCATAGGGAAAAGAATAATGGAGAATTCCAAGGAAATGACATTGAGCCGACCTAAAAGTTTGTAGTTTTTAAGCAGCAATATAACAGATAGCAGCAAGAGACATCCTCAGGAAAACCATGAATCCCCTGACCTGTGTTGATGAATGTTACCATGCCCCCAGTGAGGAACTTGTGATATAATGAAAGACACAAAGGATCTTTATAAAATAGAAAAATAAGCTTATTATTAAATCTATATAAAAATGGAATCTATAACAAAGAATAACATGATCCTATGACAAAGGACATTCTTTATAGTATGCTAATATAAATAGTAAATCTTGTATGTATTTTATAACTAACAATACATTTGAAAACATTCAAGCAAACAAGCAAGCAAATAATCAAACAAAACCTGAAAACTGTCCCCAAAAAGTAGAAAAGGGTAAGCGATAACTGACAATAATTATACTTTTACAATTTTCTCTGTAAATTGCTTTGATTTACATAGAAATAAAATCAGCCTTGCCATTCTTCTATCCCTTGGTGACCCATGATTATGTCATACTGTAGACCTCATGTAATCAAAGAATCTAAATAGTCTTGATGAACAAATCAGCACAAGGGTTAGCAGATTCAGAGAATCTGTTTATATGACTCAGCTTCATGAAAGAGATGTCTCAAATTCCCATGTCACCAGTGGGCTGGATGGGATCTTAAATGGGCCTGAGGCCACAAGGTTCACAGATCATACCAGCAGATCAGAGACAACATCTTCTAATTTACATATTAGCATTCTGTACATTGGGGAACCTCCCCTTCCAGAAATGAAATTCTGAGCCTCATTTCCTGTATATTAAAGTTAAATCTAAAATACCATCAATGATTGGAATACTCACCTGCCCATGAGGAAATGAGGTAATGACATTAAGAAGCACCCCAGGCCCATAAGGACACATCCAACACCAATCATGATAGGTCTGTGCAATTTCCTCCCGAAATAACTCACGAATATAATCAACACAAGGTTTCCTGGTTGGAGAAACAAGAATGCTTTTTTTTCAGTAAAGTATTATCAACTCTTAGTGAACACAGCCTCTAAAACATTTGGATTCTAGAGTTTGTTGTTTAACAACCACCTTAAGAACTCAGGAATTGGAGCTTATGAAGTTTTTCATATTGTTTTCATGTGTAAAGCAATTATGACCTGGAAGGAAAGTTCTCTTCAATTTTGGAGAATATTAAATGCTCTACTCATGATGATCCTGCCTTTGGCTTTGAATACAATAGCAAGTGTCAGCCTTCATGTCACCTCTGACCTTTTTCCTCGAGCCTACACGATGCAGAATCAAATGGGGTCATTTTTTGTAAACCTATAATTTAAAAACTCTTTTATTGCTCAACAAGGCCACATTGAATGTCTGCTTCTATTTTCAATTATTTTTTTAGGCCAGTTAATACTGTTAAGCAGAGAAACGGTAAGAGTCCTGGTCCTCCAAATGGGTCTTAGATCAAACCAAAAATATTCCTTTGTGGTTTAGAAGAAAGCTTTGGGGGGGGGGAACCTCATTGGGAAGCCCTATTGTCAGGGGCAGCCCTGCTTATACACTGAAGGCCTGAAATCAGCCATAGGCCTAAAATCAGCAATAGGCCTGTCATAAATGCCTGCTAACACAAAGTCTTGGGTCTCTGTGGAAAAACACTGAAACAAATGACTAGAAGCTATTGTAAACAAGCAGCTTTGGTGGAAAATTGCCAGTCTGCAATAGTCATAGACCTTGTAAATAGGTAGCCTTGGTGGGTAGTACCTACTTAGATAAGGACAAGTGAATCATAGGTGGAGTCACAGTGATCTGTCCCCTGAACCTTCACCCAGCTGACACTCTGTTCTGGAAGTTATCTGTACTCCCCCTGAACACTTACTCTCCTGCATCATCCCCTTCCCCACATCCTTCCTTTTTGTGATTATAACCTGTGAGTGAAAAAGTAAAAATGGCAATTTGATCAGACTATAGACAGATCGCCATTTCTTTGAGTCTTTGCCTGTTTCTACTCCTCTCCACTCCTGCTCTCTTTCATGTGACCTTCCTGGACTCCTGTTTAATGCCCTGCTGGACAGGACACCCTGTTCTGACAGAGACTTTTGTCAAATATGTTTGAGAGTTGAAAGAGCTAGTAACATCTGGTGGCAGAGTTCTGTTATCCCCAGCTACAGGGATGCCAAGAGAGAACAATTACAAGGTACAAATTTGCCTGGGCTACAAAGTCAGCTCAAGACCATTCTAGGAAACTTAGTAAGACTTCTTTTTTTTTTTTTTTTTTAAAAAAAGACTAAATAAAGGAGGGATTAAGGGGGAAAATGTCCCTGAGGCCCTAGGTTCAATCACCAGCATTAGTTACATAGATAAAGAGCTGAAAAAGAACCAAATACATAAGTAAGTTCTCTATAAACCACATACTTTAGTTTGATGAGAATGTTTACTCTGTTCATATAATACATAAAGGAAAGAAGGAAAGATCAGAAAAATCAAACACTCTTCTTTGATGATTTAGTAAATCTTTAAGTGGTCTTAACTGTTTGAAAGATATTTGAAGACTTTGTTTTTCTTTTTTTTTTTTTTATAAATCTTTTTTTTTAAATTTTTATTTATTTATTATATGTAAGTACACTGTAGTTGTCTTCAGACACCCCACAAGAGGGCATCAGATATCATTGCAGATGGTTGTTAGCCACCATGTGGTTGCTGGGATTTGAACTCGTGACCTCTGGAAGTGCAGTCAGTGCTCTTAACCACTGAGCCATCTCACCAGCCCGAAGACTTTGTTTTTCTTCCAGTTTTATTTCACTCTAGTCTGCTTATCTAAGAAGAGATGTGGTGTTGTTTTTGAATGGCTTGTTCCCCACTACTATATTCTTATTTTCATTTTTCCAGCCAGTCTGTTTCCAAAGACCCCGTCAATGAAGTCATCATACATCAGGTAATGTTCCAAGATACCCAGGGTTTGAACTTTCTATGGTTCTTTCTAATATATGGCTATGCTCTTGTGAATGCACAGGCAACTGTCTGAAATCTTTATTGACTGAAAGGAAAAATATTCCTGCCTTACATTAGGCTGAATTCACCTTTTACATTGTCTTTTTATAAGCAGTGGAACAAGCTGGGGAGAGAAGTAAAGTGTTATGTAGGCTAGCAGGAGGTTGCTTTCAAAACTGTTGGGGAAATACACACCAAATGCTTTCACTGGCCACTGTGAATCACTTCTGCTAATAACAATTTCTAATTAATTCCCTTTAAGTCACATGCCACAACCATTGTGGTAGAAAGACTTAATATTTTCAACTTTAAATGGGACTTTTTAACCTTTAGTCTAGAAGCTATGGAGCTCAGAGAAATTAGACCAATTTTGTGAACTTGGATGATAATTATTGAAGATAATTTTTAATGAATATCACTAATTATTAAATAATAATTATCATTAACTGAATTAATCGATTTTTACTCCCTTCAAGGCAATATTGTGTTTAATGCATTTAATGAAAACACCAAAGCAAAATGGGATTAAGCAGAAGCTCACCAATACTGAACATGCACCGTTCTGTCTCCCAGGGTCAAGTTCCCTAGTGCTGCTCATTTCACTATTAAATAATAAAATTATTCAGATATTTCATTAACTGAGTGTTACCTTTTCTACTCATCGTAAAGTAAGAAGCAATAGTAACATGGACAACAATTATTCCTCTACTGATAGAAGTATAAATAGTGGCTTATGATATTGTGGTTGTTGTAAGTACTGCAAACTGTCATGGAGACAATAATTACTTGAAAATAAGATCTAGTTAATATTTACCTTGCTGTTAAAAAGCACAACTATTTCTGCATGGCAGGTGGTTTAACTATTCTGGTAATTTTACTTCAGTGTAACTGGTTTCCTCTTTGCCTATGTAGTTTAATTATTTTTGCAAGTGAAATATTATCATGAAATCAGATATCACTGGGTTTTGAATATGAGCTTAGAAAAATTAATATCTACTTTTCATCTTATACTGGAACTCTGCTACCTTGGAAATAAAAGACATACTCCAGAGTAAGCCACAGTCTCTACCTATTTTTCATTCCTGCACATCTCCCAGGCTCATGCTCTAACAACTTCCAACTTCCCATAAAATTAGGCTGACTCTTTCTCCTCACAAACAATTTGATGCTTTGTCCTCTGCACAAATCTCTTCTTCACCTTAACCTGCCCATTTCTTTATGTGGGAAACCTTTCCTCCTTCAGACTTTCTTCCACAGCACAAATGTGTCCTGTAAGATCTTGGTAACTGACAAACTGCACTTGCTCCATCTAACAGAACACTAGCAGAATCTGTGGAAGGTCTATGTAAGGCATTTATCCTGAAACCACCAAAGGTGTAGGACACTCAGGAAATAGTAAGCACTAAGGAGCTAGACCCTGGGAGACAGAATGGTGGATCCTCAGTATTGGTGAGCTTCTGCTCAATCCCATTTTGCTTTGATGTTTTCATTACATGCATTAAAGACAATTTTACCTTGAAGGAAGTAAAACTTGTGATTAAACTAGAAAAGAGAGGCACCATTACTTCCAGCTCACTTTGTTTCTAGAGGGAATCTTTTTGTCGTTCAGCCTTGGTACTCTGATATCCCAGTTTATCACCAAAAATCAGGAGTTGAAGTTAATCCACTATTCTTAGAAATTGTGTGTGACAGAGATCAAACACAGGAAAACTTCCTAGTCTTCTCTAGTGAATAGGAGAGGGGACCATCAACTTCCCAGACACAGTAGGTGAAGTGAAACGGGTGCTCTCTCCTTTGGGACACAAGTTTCTCCTACATCATCCTTCTAAAATGCCAAGGAAAACCCACTTGTCTTTGAGTTATCAAGAGATAGAATTAGAGGTTATTACTCTAAATCTTCTGCTGCTCCTCATAGAAAAGGGTCAGTGTCAGGCTATATGGCAAGATTTAGGCCCATCATGAGAATATTTAAATACATGGTTTGTTCACATCAAATTAGGCTTTTCAGTCAATATCAGGAAGTAATTCATTCAGATTAAATAGGCTACTGCAAGAAATAAGGAGAAAATATCAATATATAGAAGTAAGTAAGTGTAAAAATAACTCACCAATTTCAAAGCTCCCATTGATAAGACCAACTATAGATGTGGGGATATCAAATTGTCTCTCTATTTGTGTGAGCATGGAATTCATATAAACTCCTGATAGTGATTTGGATACATATGCACATGTTAATGCCAAAAGAAACATCTAAGAAGAAAAATATTTAAGAAAAAAATGTAAACTTTTGGTTTTCATATGTATCTGATCAAACAACTTCCACCATGAGGTAAATGATTATCTCCATCATAAATAGTCCTTGAACATGCAACAAATTTTAAAGTGTAGTATCTTCTGTATGTCACTGTGTTCTCATTCTGGAAAAACAGAGTTAGAACAGTTGGTTAGCAGTGGTAAGTTTTGTAGATATTTATGGATTTCCTCTCTTATCAGTGTACCTTATTCATACAGAAAGACATGGAGATGTTCTATGTAACACACAGCTATTGATGGGTCATCAGCACTATACCTACAGGTCACACATTGTCCACTTTATGGAGGAGAAAGAAGAGAACACAGAACTATACCAAGGCATTGTGTCTGCAGCAAGTCTACTGTGCTCTCTTTGCAGGAATGACAGGTCTCTGGATTTACTTGTGTAGTTCAACACTTTGTCCTATTTTCTGCATTCTTGGACACAATAAGCTACATTCTCACTGTTGGTGTCAATGGCCATAGAAAAGATATCTAATTTTTATTCTTTCCTGGTCCAATATCCTCTGTAACACTTTATCTCATTAGTGGAAGTGATGTTCAAAGAAAACCAGGGCAAAACATTTCAGGGGTCCCTCGGGTGCAGGATAAAGGGTGGCTATGCAGATAATGATGCTCACTACCTGTCTGTGACTAATTAACTCACTTTGAGTAATGTAGTGAATGAATTTCCTTTTTCCCCCAGCTTATCTTCTAGCAGCTGATTGATGACAAAAGTCACTATACTATCTTCTCTGAAATACTATGCAAATTTATTGTGTTAGATTAGGGTTTAGTGCTTTTAAACTTATTGTCTCAAGTGCCAACCAATTTGGATAAAACAGAGCAGAACAATATCCAAAAAAAAATGAAGAAGAAAGAGAGAGAGAGAGAGAGAGAGAGAGAGAGAGAGAGAGAGAGAGAGAAATAGAAAAGAAAAAGAATCGAGAGTAAAATGTGAACACCTAGTTCACTGTAGGTCAAAAGTATAGATGTTTGTTTTCTAATTCCAAATGCAATTTGCATAGATGTTCTTTGATCTCACTGTAACTCTCTCAGGGTATGTGATTGAGATTTGAAAATGTTCACATAAGTGTTATATTTCAGATCCTATCATTATAGTCAAGGTCTACTAAATTTCAAAAAGTCAGATTTGTGAAGATCATTTACTCTATTTATGTTTTGAAGCAAAAAGCTAAATACTTTCTTCCTTTGTCTTTCCTCTAAAATACATTTTTTTTCTATGCAGAAAACAAAAGGAACCAATGGCTAGGCTCATTCTGGTCTATTGCTACATAACACCTATATTTAAAAATCTAATCCTACTAACTTTTTACCTCAGTACTCTATAATCTGCAGCAAACTCCTTTAGAGCAGTCTTTTCCTGCTTTCTAGGGGAGTTTCTTTTTCTTTCATCCTATGTTTCTGTGTATGTGTACACACATTTTCTGTGATGAGTTAATGTATGAATATGTACATGGGGAGATCAGAAGACAATCTCAGGAAAATTCCTCAATATTTGTACATTGTTTAAAAAAGAACATGTGGAATTCACCTAGAAGGCAATGCTGGCTAACCAGTGAGTCCCAACTATCTGACTGACATCAGCTTTCCATGCTGGAATTACAGTTATATATTGCCATATCTAATTTTTATATAAACTTTGGGGACTGAACTCAAGCCCGCCTGCCTAAAAAGCAGTACTTTACTGATCAAGGTGCCTGTCCCATCCCCTTGATAAATGTTCCTGTCTTTTCTTTAGTAATTTTTATTGACTAAACTTACTGTTTGTTAATTTCATACATACATAGTATGTTCACTTTCTCTCCTTTCCTCTCTCTCTCTCTCTCTCTCTCTCTCTCTCTCTCTCTCTCTCTCTCTCTTTCTCTCTCTTGCCCATCAACATCTTTTTGTTAATATCAGTCTTTTTCTAAGCTTTATGAGTTTTGATTTTGTTTTGTTGACTAACAGGTGGTATTGAACCACCATGTTGTGTGGGACTTTTTTCCTTATTCACTAGTGGTTTGAATATTTTCCCATAACATTTATCCAAATATCTAGTTATTAAACTCCAAAGTAACTGTAGTGGATTGAATAGGCATGGACCTCATAAGATCATACATAGATTTGAATGCTTGGCCACCAGGAACTGACACTAGAGTAGATGTGGCCTTGTTGGATGAAGTATGTCAGTAGGAATGGAATTTGAGGTTTTAGAAGCTCCAGCAAGCCCAGTATCATAATTTTCTTGCTGCCTGTCAATCTTGATGTAGAATTCTTAACTTGTTTTCTAGCACCACACCTAGTGGTTATCATGGTGTTTCTTCATAGCCATAAAAACCCTAACTAAAACAGTTAACAAAAGCAAACTACTGGGCACTACTGCTTATAATGATACTTAATGACTTCTCTCTACAAATACAGTCTAGTAATCATAATACTTATCATTATCCTAAGATCTGAAGCTAGAAATGTGACTCAGTAGTTAAAAGCACTGGCTGTTCTTCTTGAAAACTTGTGTTATGTTCCAAGCACCAACATGGTGGTTCAAAGCCACCTGTAACTCCAGTTTCAGGTGACCCAATACCTTCTGTCCTCCAAAGATACAAGACACAAAAATGGTGTACCAACATACATGGGAGCAAAACGTTCACATGCATAAAATAAAATGTAAATGTAAAGAAATTAAAGCACCTTAAAAGTGTTTTAAACCATTCTAAGATGCTTTCAACATCTAAAAGGAGGTACAGCTCAGGAAAAGAGAAGTTGCCTAGTGTATGTAAGTGCCTGGATTTAGTCCATCATATCAGCAGTGTAGGATAACGCTGGGAAGTGAGCAGATACATATACAGTGACAGAGATAGACACAGAGATACAAACACATACACAGTGAGGACATAGAAAGACATTTTAAATCTTAAAATGTAGGACTGCCATTATCCCTTTCAAATGAATAACACTGACATATATACAGATTGCATAAATTGTCCAGAATGGCACATCCAGTAAGCATCTGGCAAGGATTAGGAGCCAAGGGATCTTGGCTTCTCAGAAGCTTGTAAGAACTTGAGGGTGGTTGGCTTGCAATAATTTGTACATCATTACAAGTAACAGTATTTTCCAGGGGCTGAGTCTGAAGCCTCTTTTACATTAATATGCAGATTCAACTATACGTGAATAAAGACAAAATGAACTTTTAATAGGATGACATAAGAGACAGCATCTTAGAGAGTAACATCTTGAGGAACTGCAGAAACTAAGCCAATGCTTGAATTTCATGGGTTAATGTACGCTCACATTCTTTGATGTAAAAATGCCTCTGGAGCTATGAGAACAATAATTATTTCTAAAATACTGAACCCCACCAAAGCAGCTCACAGACTGTACTATTTTCTTACAAACAATGATTATTATACTGCCAAAGCTTGAAGAAAATATTTTTCTAGCCAGGTCATAAAGTCATCTTTCCATATTAATGAACAAAGTACCTCTGCTGTGGAGGTGATTTCCAGCTACAAACCCTCACCTTCTGTCAGGACCCTAGAGCTGAGCACTGGATTAACCTCTGATTTCAGACTAAATTCTATCACAGTATAATACACATCTCAAACATTTTAAACCCCATTCTTCTTTAGAAACCTCTAGAGTAGTGGTTCTCAAGATTCCTAATGCTGTGACCATGAAATACAGTTCTTCCTGCTGTGTTGACTCCAACCATAAATCTATTTCATTGTTACTTTGTAAATTTCATTTTACTACTGTTATGAGTTGTAATTTAAATATCATATATGCAGGATAACTGATATGTAACCTCTGTGAAAGGGTCTCTGATCCATATGTTGAGAACTCACAAGCTGAGAACCACTGCCCTAAATTATTCTGTTTTCTGAATGAATAATACTGGTTAGACATCCCTCATTATAAAACCAACAGTTTCTAATGTAAGAAATTAACAACACATTGGGTAAAAAAGCATTTGTGTTCAAAATTTTTATGTGACTGAGCGACAATACAAGCACTTTCAAAGATTGCTTTAAATCTTTATGACTCTCATGAGTATGTACATGCATACAGAGAAACAATCCACACCTTCATCTTGGAAAAGAATCTTCCCTCTTGTGTAGCAATCTTTTTCTCTGTTTTTTCCATGGTGATCTTCTGGTTGTTTCTAGTGCCTTTGCTCTAAAAGTCCTACTGCAGTCTTTCTAAGAAAAGAGAAAGTTGTTAAATAAGTTATTTTCTGAACTGTAACAAGTCATTCAAAAAAGATCTCTCTTAGGGATAGGATGTCTTAGTGAGAGTTTCTGTTGCTGTGACAAAATACCAGGACCAAAAGGTAATTAAAGGGAAAGGGTTTATTTTAGCTCACAGTTGTATATTACAGTTCTTCCCTGAGGGAAGTCAGGACAGGAATTCAAAACACCAACCAAGATGCTAGAGCCAATGCAAAAGCCATGGAGAAATGATACTTCCTGCTTTGCTCCTCATGACTTGCTTGGCCTGCTTATACAACCCAGGACTAACTACCAGACAGAGTCCCACCTACAGTGTTATGGGCCCTCTCATATCAATTACAAATCAAGAAAATGCACTACATGCTAGACCATAGGTCAATCTCATTGGAACATTTTTCTCAACTGAGGTTCCCTCTTCCCAAATTACTCTAGTGAATATCAAGTTCTTATAAAGTTGTCCAGCACACCTAAAGGGGTGGTTCAGTGGTAAACTGTTTGATTCTTAAGCTTGAGACCATAAGTTTTGTACTTCTTAGCAGGCAAGTAAAAAAGCTAAGCTTCTCTGCACATGCCTATAAGCCTATCACTGGGAGAACTCAAAGAACAGGATCACTGCAGTGTGAAAATCTGACACTCTAACCACATTAACCACCAAGAAGTTGAATAAAGAGACCTCCGTCATAAAACATAAGGTAGAACGTTCTACAAGGAGACATTCAGCATTGACTTCTGGCTTCTGTAATATGCACATGTATACGTGAACACCTGCACACATGCTTATGGAGAGACAAACCCATATACACAAACCCATAAATGCACTGAACACACACACACACACACAAATAGGAATAATTTAACCAGTACCTGAAATGTTACAAAAACACCTAGGAAATTTTTTCTTTGATTGGTTTTCGGTTTTTGCCTTTTCTGTTTTTATTTACTCTGGCTAACCTGTTAAATAACTGCATAGGGTAGAATTGGATTTGTTTGATTTCTACTAAAAAAAGCAAACACAAAATTTTATCCTGATTATTTGGCAATATTAAAGATACCCTCAGAGATTGTTAGACTCTGACCTTAAGTTAATGACAAATGTGGTTAAAAGCAAGCTTTTGAATTCTTTAGCCAAAGCAAATGAGACCGAAGTGATGCCTTTTGAACTGACCTTGAAGGTTCCTGCCTTTACAAGTGGGACATCTGTTGTGCTTGTACTAAGCCTTTGCTTCACTGAAGCCTAAGCTAAGTTTCCTTTAGGGGTTCTTTGCATTCCAAGACTTCTCTGGAGTCTCAAGAAGAAAAACTGTGGATTCCCAGAAACCTGCAGAGACACAGAATCATTTTAATCATAAAAACAGCCAAAGTGGAAATAACAATTAAGTCTAAGATCTGGGGAAGAATCTAGCAATTCATGTTTGAAAAATGTAGAAGTTAGGAAAAGACCAGATACCTAAATAGAAAGTTCTATATGCTTATTCATGATCTACAGATTATATATGGACAAACATGTCTCTCTGTGTATAGGTGATATGTCATTACAAGTATTTATATGCAATGGAGGAAAGGGACATGTTCTATTCAGCCTCATTAAACTTTCTACTTTTCATCTTGAAAGTACAATTTTTCATATTTATTCTATAGAATTTATTTCAACATACCTGGATGGTTTCTCAAATGTATTTACAGCATTAACTTATGAAAATCCTCTGAACACATCCACATCATAAATGATTTGGAATGGCACTGAGTATATAAAACGTTGTAAACATTTATCAGAGTTCCAAATCCCAGCCACCACTGAGTGATTATGTATGACCCCAGTTCTTTTTACTGCCTTGTACTTCCAACAAATACTTATTGAACACTTACTATGTGCCAAGCCCTACATGAACCACCAAGATCCAACAAAGAAGACAAGCAACAAAAGATTCAGTCACCAGAGAAAGTTGCTTGGACCCAGATCTCCTGGGAAAGCTAACAATTTCCAAATAAATAAATAAATAAATAAATACTGCACTAAGATAGGATTGGGCTATGCCTCTTGGGAAAGCTAAAATTTCCAAATAAATAAAATAAAATAAATAAAATAAAATAAAATAAAATAAAATAAAATAAATACTACTCCACTGAGATAGAATGGTGCCATGAAAGTTGAGGTACAACTTATTTATTCTGTAAATAGGGCTGAAAATTTGCAGGATGTAGATGAAAATTATAAGGACTATCTTGACAATTCTGAACAGGCTTACAAATAAAACCTCCAGATAGAAGGCTCCCACATAAAACTTTAAGTCCACTTAACTTCCTGAGAGGACATGATACTGATTTTGAAAAGAATTGTAGAATGGGGTGATTTCTAGAACAGAGGAAGCTCATAATTCAAATCTACGTGACATATGGAAGAAACATCAAATTCTCAACTTTCTTCACATGGCTCTATTTTTATCATTCATAGTGCATTTTTTCATTAGCCTTTTTTTCTTCTGTTCTTCCTTGCTCATACCTGACTAGGAATGGTTTACCCTGTAAGCTCCTTGAGACATGAGAGTGGCCAGGCTTCTCCACTGGGAATCTCCAATCCTGAGGTCCTACCATCTGTATATTCTAACTTCCCTAACAGCTGGACATAGCCCCTGTCCTACAGAGTAAACAGCCCAAGCTCTGGACTTTAAATCCCACCAATTCCCACCCTAAATACTCCACCCCAAAGAAATTCCATAAAGAAAACCCACATTGTGCTCAGTTCTCTGCTGGTTCTCTCCTGAGCCGAGGCAGATACCCTCCTGGGTTCATCCTTCCTAGGTTCATACTTCCTAGTAATTCTCTTACATGAGGTTTGTTGTACAGTGGAACTTTATGGTATTCCTTGGCTTTCAACTGTCAGGATATCTTTCTTCTCAGAGCTGTAAAACTTACATTGGTTCTGTGACTCACATAGGCTTTCCTGGTGCCTATTTCCCCCCTTGAGTTCTAAGCTGCACTAAGATGCTATCCCTCTAGTCTACCAGCAACAGATTGACCTTCCGGATCGCCAAGTGCTCAGCACTTCCATCAAACAGTGGCAATTAGGTAAGATTCCTTTCGGGTCAGTGTAAATGTTTCCCTGAGTACAAGGACGAGACCATTGAACATCTCTCCCTCATCTAGGATTCTTAAAGATGAAGGTACTCCCAGCCACCATCATTAAAGCTATGGCTGGCCCACTTCACCTGGCCCCATTCAGCCACATACCTTTCAAGCTTCAACCTTGGAGTTTCCTTAGGTCCATACGTTTTGTGTACGAGTCGCATTAGACCTTTGTTTTTGTGCTGTTCCACTTCAATTAAAAGTTGACTCTAGAGTTGGGGTATGGCTCCCCACTTCTAGACCCAAGCATACTTGTTGAAAGGTTTCCTCCAAATTCTCTCTCCCATATCAGGTGATCCATTTAACTTTGTGTCAGAGAAAGGAGAGAAAAACAACGACAAAAAGGACAGACTACTACGGGGACTATGACTACTCACCGCATGCTCTTTTGGCTTTGAACTCTCTAAAATTTTGCTAAGGTTGTTAAATCTAACCTCAAGATTTTTAAGCATACCGAATATGACTAAAAACCTGTAAAATCTGTAACATAATGGTTAACCTAAAACTCGTAACACTAGTGTTGATGGTTAAAAATCTATACATAGGTAGTCTTAAAAGAAATGAGTGTTGCTGCAATCTCAATGGATTCTCCTCTTCCATCAGAATGGAAGCAGCTATGAGTCTGACATCCATCTTCGCAAGAGTTGGGAAGAATGGATTTTTTTTTTCTGAAAATTTCATTTACTTGTTTACTTATTTATTTACACCCCAGTGTGAGGAACAACATAATGTGAAAGTTATTGGGACCCAGGCCTGTTCAAACTCTTATAAACCATTTTAACTGTGCCCATGGTGCCATCAAGAGAGACTTTGGGAAAACATCCTCATATTCTTCAGGATGTGAGAACGTGAAGCGCAGAAGATCCTACAGCCCTCTTAGGTTTGGCCATTGACACCTGAGGAGTCCCAGTTCCCTTTGGCCCAACCATTGCCATCTCCTACAGGGAGCCTCAGGTAGTCATCGTAGTATCAGGGTGACCCAACTCCTTCCTTCTGGGAGTTGGAACCATGTATTTTGTTATGACAGAGTTTAGAGGATTCACCTCTCCTTTCCCTTTGTTATTGTCAGTTTAGGGGGACAGCCTTAACATACTTCCCAAACCTCACCACTTTGCTGTATTTTTAGGGGTATTCCCCTTGCCTACTTTTTCCTAGTGGTACCAACCTGTCCTGTAACCTCGTTGGGAAGGGACTTCCTAGCCAAAGTTGAAGCTTCATTTTTTTTTTTCTTTTTGTTCATCTCTTGACCCCAGATCCAAAATCTGTCCTCCTCTTTGTTCTTGTCTAAACCACACAGTCTGGCACAAAGTTTTCCCTTGCCAGCTTTTCAGGTGGATTCCCTAGTATGGTATACCAAAACCCCTTTATAGAAAAACAGCATTCCCCTTTCATTCAGTTAAAAAACCCTTTCACTCCCTTCCAAGGGAAAAGGTGAGATGTAGCCTACCCACCTGATTCTGATTGTTTGGAAAGTTACGTCTATCTGTATTCGGTGTGCAGATGGGACTATATTTTCTGGTTTTTTTTTTTTTTTTGTAAGTTCCATTGTTAACAAGGGAGCAAAAATGAAATAAATCAGGCTGAATGAATTATGGTTAGTTGAAGGTATAAATGATGGCAGACACTACACATTTTGTTTCTGACTGGTGTGCAAACTTTCTATGTTCTGTGATTTTTATTTTGTTTTTGCTTTGTCTCCTGCTGCTGCCAGCTGCCAGCCACCACTTGCTACGTTTGTAATGTCCAGAGGGGGGAAAGATATCTCTGAGCATTTTTGTCACTAAATTCAGTTTGTTAAAGATAGGTTTTAAAAACAATATTTGTTTAATAAATTATTAACGCTGCACCTTCATGCATTCACATGCAAGAATGTAAAGTTGCCTGAAACTTAAATTCTTATATGGGAATCATTGAGGTTAACCTTTGAGTCACCTGTTGCTGTCATCTCTCATCAATTCTTCTACCTTCTAACATGCAAGGGTCTTCAAACATTACTCCCGTTCCAAGGTCTCTTCAAGTAGTATTAATAGAGGTTGCCTTACCCTTCAGCACTGTGCACATCATAACATCTCAAACTGATTCAAGCTGCTGATTTGATATCTAAACTTGCTCTCTCCTCTCTTCTGTTATTGCCTATCTATACCTGCCTGTGCTAGATCTTACATGTGGATGTGTAATATCCAAGAGACATCTGTCTCTCACCAACTACCTGTCATTGTAAGTTCTGGAAATTCCTCAATATCAGAGTGTTAAAAGTCAGTTAAGTCCCCTGCAACTCTCTATTTTCTCTATGAGAAAAAAAAACTGTAAAAAGTGGCCACAAACTTAAATTGGTTACCCACATTGATCCTGAAAATATTTTAGGACAATCTGGGCCATTCCAGTTGCATATCAGCTACTGAATAACACTCTGCCTGGTCACTTTGGAGAGTGCTGGTTGAGTCCTTCTAGATGTTGAAGGATATTTGATCATACTGTGTATGCCAAGATTGCATTATTTACTGAAAAATAAACCAAACAATTGTTTCTAGGTGTGCTGTGGCTCAGCCCTTAGCACACAATATTGATCCCTCTGGCTGGAATAAAGACAGAACATTAGTATTCACCTATAGTTTGAAACAATGAAGGTAGTTAGTTTGTAGAAGAAAGTGCTCACATTAGAAAGTGATGTTTAATAGAGTAGCAGACAAAGTGATGAATCAGAGAAAGATTTGACAGAAGAGGATATGCCCAACTCTTATCAGAAAAGAGAGGAAAGGTAAGCTACTTAAGAGAGCAATGCAGACAGGGAAGGACATAGTTTTAGAGGGAGAGTTATACAAACACAGGTTGAAGAGAGAATAAACTAGACACAGGTAAAAACCAAAGGAGCCAGAATATGAGAAGGAGCCAGAAGATTAGAACAGATTCCCTAAGTTAGTATGAGGCCAAGCAGAGACACTCAGGAGAGGCAGAGACAGAGAAGTCAGATTGAATTAGTCAGCTTATAGAGGAGTTTTAAGCCAAAACATCTGAGTTGAACCAGCCAGTAAGAGCATAGAAAGAACTAGGAAGGTATTCAGCAGCAAGTTATAAAGGCAGAAAACATTCTAGGCCTCGGGTAGATTGTACAGAAGCTAGAAGCTTCCAGAGCTAGGCCTAGGTTTTCAGATAGAGCCAGAAGCTTCAGAGATGTCAACTACATCTGGCAAATAAAAGTTGCTGTTATTTCCTGAGTCAAATTCTTGACCACAATTTATAGCCTCACCCACCGGACTACTATACTCTCTTACCTCACCTCTCATTACCATCAGTCTTCATAAAAGTTCATCTGGATTCTCCAATTGGTGGCTCAGACCATCTTACACTCCAGGACAAAATAAATTCACTGACTACTGTTCTATTACAAAATCAGTGAAGATTAGATTTACAGTAGAGGCAGGTTGTCTTTGTTTCTTCTTTAGGGAGGAATTTTGCTTCTATGTTAACCAATAGAATATAGTAGACAAAATCTGACAACTCCAGACAGATCAACAAGACCATTTCAGAAACAGCTCCTCAGTCCCACTGGCCAGTAGATCATTGACCGTTCAATATGTATTTAGATATTACCTTTGTTAACCTCCTTTCTCCTTATTTCTTAATCTAGTCATACCCTATCATATAAACTTCATTTGTAGATTTCTTCAATAGCCAATCCAAAATATTTCTAACCAGACTTTTAAGTAGTTGCTACTACAAGCTTACCAGTCCCGAGATATGAATCAAAATTCAAGGGATTTCCAATTATACACCAATGGTGAAAATCAAGTTTGTCCCAAGGACTTTGATGCCCTGATTCAGCATAAAGCAGTCTCTTGATAACTTATTCATGCCCTGTCCTGGGTTTTTAAATATAGTAAACACAAAAGAGTGTGTAAGCCTTAATAATTCCACTTGAAAAGTTTGTTGTATAGTTTGATTTTGTGGTAATCCTTGGCTCTTGACTGCCAAGATACCTTTCTCTTCAAAATGAAACACTTATACATCCTGTCCATCAATAAGAGAGAAGTTACTCCCATTTAAAACATGTTTTCACTTTTCTTAGTGGCTTAAAATATGACCATTCTAAATATCTATTTTTTATTTTTTATCCAAGAGAAACTGAAATCACCCCCCCACACACACACACACCTAGAATATCACTGGATACTTCTTTCCATGTGCACTAAGTAATCATCTCGGTAGTTTTATCACCATCTTCAAGATTCCTTTTAAAACACTTTTGCTGATTTAGAGAAGTTTTACAAACAAATCTCTTGACTATGAATAAATCATATAAAACTAAGCACTTGAAAATAGATTAAATGTTAATAAATTAATTCCTACCTTTCCTCTAATGTGACAACCTTTTACATGGAAAACATTATATCTTTCAGATGCACCTTAAAGATGTCTATAGAGAAAAAGAGGCAAAACAGTATCTGTTTCATTGATTCAACAAAATCTGTGTTCTTGAATCATATCACATTCTCTTGTTGAGAAATTCAAACATAAATGAGAAATGTACACAGATTAAGTGATAGCCAAATATCACTTGGTTAGCACAGGGTTGTTTCAACAATCACTTCTGTTCCCAGGATCACAGAACACATAGATAAATCCATATCAATGCTCATGAAAACAGCACATTGTACTTTTAATTAAGCAGAGAAACAAAATGGAATGTCTCCCTCTCTTTAACATCCACTTGAGGAGTGGGAGCATACCACACCCATTCTTAGGCAAGATTGGCCACAACTGTGAACCATTTTCATTGTTTGTTTTATTTTAAAGATATATGATGGAATGTCTGCTCTCAAACATTTTAAGAATACCATACAGAATTGCTAAGTGGGTGGGTAAGCATACTACTACAAAGCAGGTCTCTAGAACAGTAACTACCTTGTCACACTGACGCTCTACAGTCATTAAGCAGAAACACTAAGTAGGAGGCAACCTTCAGTTGATGATCCTTAATAACATCTCAAACATGGGAGAATATAGCTCTATACAAACTGAAGAAACACCTTCACTCCCACTCAGTCTCCACATAGTTTGTCTTATCAGAAAGCTCATGTTGTTCCTTGCATCTACTCTGTACTACTGAATTAAAGGCTTTGCTTTACCTTGGCCAAGTGAGAAGTAAATACACGACGAGATCATAGGAAACGGTCCTCTTGCTGGTGACGGTAAACGAAAACCACAGCAGCAAGTCTTATGTAAAGCACCTATTTCCAGAATCCTCAAATTGCCACTAGCAATGAGAGACAGCATATTGGATGCCTTCCAGCTGGAATCATTTTAGCCAATACCAATCCTGGGAAGGACATGAGGAATCTACAATGACTTGTTTGATTTCTAGCAAATGAGTTTACTTTGGTCAACTTCTTTCAATCAGAAATCGTAGGAGACAGCACTAAATTCCACCTGTTAAGCCTTACATATACAGATACAGTTTTATTTCCTACTTTTAAGATACATGGAATGTGCCCCTCTGAGAAAATTTATCCAGACATCTACGTTACTCATTCATGTGGTTTTTACCATGCAAAACAAGACTGGAACATGGGCAAACTCTTCACCAGCAATATAGCCAGCTTGTAAGTTTAGATGTATTCTAAGTCTAGACTCAAAAGCAGAACAGAAAATTCAAAACATGAGTTCTGTCTTTAAAAGGGGCAGCTGTGAATGGCATCAGTGTCACTCTCTGTATCAAACTTATGTAGAGAATGAGGAGATACTTATAGCCGAAGCCAGTTTTCCACATTCGAGTCACTTGTTTTGACCTAAGACTTACCAGGAAGTTTTAAGCTCTGTAACACACAGTTCTTTTGAAGCTATTTTGTCCTGTTTCTCTCTGTGCACTTTGTCCTCTGATGCTTGCTTCTATGTTCACTGGATTGTAGCAAAGAGAAAATATCTATTTAACATATTGATTGATGATTTTTTTGTTTGTTTTTCTTTTAACCTGCTTTCCTATTTACTTTCATCTAGAACATTAGCTAAATTGGTTTCAATAAAACACTGCCCTTTCATTTATTGGAAACACAGAGATTCTTATATCCCCCAGCTATTAAACACTGTCTCTGGAAACATACATGGATACATTTCTGTTTAACTCTTTCACATCTTAGTAAGATAAACTTTACATTTACAGCACTTTATATGTTCCCATGTATAGTCCTTATATAAGAAGGGGTAGTGGACTCTGTCAGAAAAAATGTAGCTAAAGTCAGATAGGTGGCTCAGTGGGTAAAAGCATAGCTGTGCTTGCAGGGGATATATGTTCATTTCCCAACCCATCCTCTCATAACCACCTATAACCTCTTCCAGGGGACCCAACACACTTTAGTCTTCTGGACTCTAAAGTCACTATGCAGACATGACACACAGATATAAATGCAGACAAAATACCTATACATATAACATAATTAGTAACTTAAAAATAAAAGTAAGAGAAAACAAGAAATTTCAAGGTACATCATTCTCTTGCTGAAGGGAACAGGTGACCTACAGACTCAAGGTGATTAAGACATCACGGAGTGCCCAAGAAGAATAAAAAAAATCAACTGTAATCATAAAGATTAAAAGTCAGAAATTAAAACAAGTGAATGAGAGATCTATCTGTCAATCCAGTTAATTTTTGAGTCTAAGAATATGAATGAGAGGTGCTTTGCAAAGAAGTTGATCAAGATCATGAGAAATATTCAGGAAGTATTTAGTTGAGTGGAAAGGAGGAGAAAAAGTGAATATAGGTGTCCACTTCAAACTACAAAATGACAATTTTATTTTAACTTCGATGCACAGAGTTAAAAAAATAAAAGCCAACCAACCAAACAAAAACTATGTATGAGCCCAGTAAGTACAATGTTAAAATATTGACTGTGAAGTCAGCTATTAATGGGTGAAGAAAAGAAGAGTCAAATATTTTATTTAACAATTACAGATAAAATCACAGATTGAGGTACATGATACATATGAAAAACTGATTAATTTAGCACATAAAGAATTACATCAGTATAACACTATCTTACAGAAAAATATGTGGAAGTATTTCTTGGTAAAAGGTATGAAAAGTGAGTAAAGTATTTGTGTGTTTATGTGTGATCACCTGTATGTGATATCCCCTGTGTGTGGCCATACCTGTATGTCACGTGCTTATACATATACCTACTGATGTTGAGAATTTTCTTTATCATTCTGCACTTTGTTAGTTGAGGCAGATTCTCTCAAGTGAACTCCACCACTAGTCTAGCTAGCCAGTTTACCAATGAAGTCTTGTCTCCAGGGACTCTTCCACCACACCTGTCCTGCTTTTATGTAGGTTCTGGGACTTACACTCCAGTCTTCATGCTTGCTTGGTGTGAGTATGTACTGGATTCTTTCCATAGCTCAAAAGTAGGAATTGTTTAAGACGGCAAGACCAACTGAAACCCAAACATATGCTTTGTTTGATTGTTTTTCATTTAAAATATCTTTGACAGCCCTCTGATATGGAAAACCTCAGCTTTTCTGGTGAGGGAATACGGAGTCCTTTCAGGCAAAGCAAAACAGTTTTCTGAACAGGAATTCTGGAAGCTTTGGATTCTAAAGTTAGCATTTGTCAAATATACTTAGCATTTGAAAAGTTATGTATTCACCTCTATTCACAAAGACAGCACTTTAAGTTGCTTTTATACTTTCCCTTGCCCCTACACTTGCTTACAAGAATCAATTGAAGTTTAATATTTAGCCATGGTAGAGCTAGCATGCTTCTGGAGTAACTCTTGAAAGTTCAGGAAAGTGATAATTAACACGAAATAAAATAAAATGTTCAGAACTCTCAATAAAGTTCTGAATTCCCAAAGGAGATAATAGAGAATAGGTCATTTTAAAAACTAAAAGATGTGAACCTGTTTCAGGAGACATGCAAGCAAGATCTTCATCTATGGCGCCCATCAGTCTGTCACTGTAGAATCCTAAACGAATTCTGTTATGGTGAGTACTCTGAGAACCTTAGTGACTCTGACTCTGGTCCTTGATGTCCACAGATGGCACTGAGAGATGCGATCCTGGGGCTGAAGTGATGACTCAGCAATTAAGAATACCTGCTGCTTGGACGTGGATTTCGTGTCAAACATCCTCATGTTGGTCAGTAATTCTCTGTAACAACAGTTGCAGCAGACCCAATACCCTTTTCAGGCCTTCACAGGAACTGCATGTGCATGGTACACAGACATGCATTTAAGTAAAATACATATAGAAATAAATAAACCTCCAAAAACAAAAGAAAGACTATAGAAAAGAGTTCTCTGAGACTCAAATGGAGATTTAACTCTGAAAAGTAATTGAGGATTGTGGATAGCTAGTAGCATTTAGGTAGTACATGTAACTTGGTAGATCCGTATCAAGCATCAAGGCTAGCATATTGATCTGTTTATTGGTGCCACTGAAACAGTGCTAAAGACTGCTCAAGTTACTATTTTATAGCTGTTTATTTGGGTTCAAAGTTTTTGTCCAAGTGTGTTGTATCTCACTAGCACAAAGCCTTTTTGTGGGTGGCGTGCTGGCAGCCGAGGGAATCACACGGTGAGAAACATTGAGGGCATAGCAGACCTGGTTAATGTGGCTTTTATATCACAGTCATTCAAGATAACTTTCATTAATTAGATGGGTGAATTGATCCATTCATATAGGTGAATGGGTACCAAAGTTACCACTAAACCTATGCCATTAAAAGACACCAAGGATAGATTATCAGGAGGCTGGAAGCACCATTTCTAAAGGTGTTAACGTACTTTGTTCAGTTTCCCAAACTGAGTCATAATTTAACACCAGTGCAATGTTAATGTTGAAGATTTGTAAGCAGCAATGGAAGACATCAAGGGATGCAGCATCATAGTGCCCCCATATCTAGTTCTGTCATCACTATTGTCTTTCCCCGTGCACTTCCAGTCCACTGAAATTTTCTCCTGTCTCTTCTTCATTATCCCACTGACTCTTAAATGTGAAGTGGTTGTGTGTGTGGTTGTGTGTGTGTGGTTGTGTGTGTGTGGTTGTGTGTGTGTGTTTGTGTGTGTATGTGAGTGTGTGTGTTTCACTGTGTGTATATGTATGGAGTGAGGATCAAACCTAGGACTATAAGCATGTAAGATAAACAGTCTGCCACTAAACTATAGCTTCAGCCCTTGGTCTATTAAATTATTTTAAATTTTGGTAGGTCATTTGTGTTCAGAAATATATCTATTTCTTTGAGGTCTTCCAGTGTTTTAATAAGTAATTGTTCATAATAGTATCTTATGATTATTTGTATTCCTATGAGATCCACTCCAAACATGGTGGGAAAGACATAGTGCCTGCAGGTCAAGTCAATTAATGACATTATCCATTAAGTCAAAAACAGAAAGAGGGAAAGAGATCACTTCTCACTGTTTCATTCTTCTCAGGACTACAGTTAGTGGGACAACACCATAAACATTAAGATGGGTCTTTCCTCAGTTAACACAGGAAGAGACTCCTGTCTGTATAGTCAGTCACACTTGGGTTTCTACCTGAGTCTAAAAAGGAGAGTACTTCCTCACAGTTCTGCAGGCTCTGGCCAGCAGAGGGCTTTTTCTTTGTGCTGAAGGGCTGCACTAGCTTCCCAGGTTGGCTGACTCCAGCTGGAATGGTCACTTGAGCCTCCCTGTCTGCATGCTGTCCCAGGCTGAAATGTGTTTAGGCTGATTTCATCATCGCTCTCTCCACTGGTGTCTGCTGAAGTCTCTACACAAACTAGACCTGAAGCTCCACTGAGCAGAAACTTAATCCACCTCACCTCTATGTCACCTTGCCACCTCTTCTTTAGTTCAGTTTCTGGAACAAAAGAGACGCTGGAGGTTGAGGCTATCACTCAGTGATGGAGGGAGCCTAGTGTGCAGGAATCCAGTGGTTCAAACCTAGCATGGGAGGCCTCAAGAATATATATGGTTTTATTTGGTTAGTTGATTGGGCTTTTGGTTTGGTTGGTTTGGTTTGGTTTGGTTTGGCTTGGCTTGGCTTGGATTGGCTTGGTTTGTTTTTGTTTTTGTTTTTGTTTTGAGACAGGGTTTCTCTGTGTAGCTGGCTGTCCTGAAACTTGTTCTGTAGACCAGGCTGGCCCTGAAGTCATAGATATCTGGTATGCACCACAGCTGCCTGGCTAAATAATACGGATTTTTCAACTGTTTTGATTAAATATATATATATTTCAAAACAAACCATGAAGACTT